TTGAACAATATCTGCAATTTTCTGAGTCAGTTTCATTGTTGTTTTATGGTACTTCCATAAAGTTCAAGGACATTTCTGTTAACAAAACATGTAGAAGCTAGGTAATACAGCAATAATGTCTGTGCTGTTCTCAAACAAGGCAGCACCGGGCAGATGTAATCAGTAGTGGTATGTAGTGGCAGGAGTAATGTAGTGAAAAAAAACAAAAAACTTTTTTTTACTTTACAGTTTTGGCAATAATAATGTGTGTAGAATTAGTGCATCTTCAGAAAAGGTCATTCAACCTGGTGACATATTTTTGGGGGTCCAAACTGTGGTGCAACTCCCATAATTCTTTGCCAGCTGGGGTACTAACGTTTACCCATGCTTGCAGGGCTGTATTTGTGAGCAGTGTCAGTGTGAATATAATTATGTTTTTGTATGCAATCTGTGTGTTTGAATGTATCCGTTTTGTGCTGTTGCCATTTATGCAATGTTGGTGTTCGAATGCAAGTGTGCATTTGTGAGTAGTGGTGATGTTTGAATTCACTCGCTGCCTAATATATCGTACCCCTTGACATTGTAACAATATAATCTGTTATTCACTTCACTCGTCAGTGGTTTTAATGTTGTGTCAGATCAATGTATACACACACTGTCCCATACACATACATGGCGACTTTGGTACAATCATATTAAACATACCGTGTGAGCGGAGTGATTGAAAAGGGTGTACCATTGAAACAGAAAATAAATATAATTGGGATAGAGGTGCAGTAAGTTGATTCAAGTGAGTATATGAAGCCAAAATAAGGATTGGCAGAGAATATGAGGATTACTGGAAATGGAACATAGGTCTGGCAGAAGCATTAATTGCAGGTTACAATAGGTCAGCTCTGGCTTTAGCAGACCAACAAGAAGTATGTTACAGTAATCAAGATGGGAAATGATAAGCAAATGGCCCAGTTTCTTAGTTAATGGGAGTACACGATAGCATAGCCACCAAAGCGTCACTAATGGACAACCCATCACTGTGTGCTAATTACCAACTATATATACCCCACAAACTGTAGTCATTTTATTTAGATTTATAATTCCATGTTACTCTTTGATTAATAAAAATAGGGTTTTGCTTGTATTTTATTTATTTTTTTACTAAAATTCTAGTCTAAAGAACTTACCAACACGTGTTAATGGGAAGGATGATGCTAAATGTTACGTCTGAGTATAATCGAATTAAATGTCAAGTAATTCAAGCAAAAGAGAAAGGATTGTGAAGTTATCTGTTAACCCAAGTGCAGTTACATGGTTCTGTTGTGTGAGTCTGCCCTCTAATGGTTTTTAAGATTCAATAAAAATTAAAGGTGAGACATTAAGCTTCGAAAGGATAGGCAGAAGAGAAGGAAGTTATGTTTCATGAAGGAAAAATGTTTGCAAAGGATTACCAATGTCAAATCAGGAAGAATGCTGATTTGCGTCAATAAAATTGACAGCATTTAGTGCTGTCCTATGATATCATCTACCTTTCTTCTTTGAGTAAGATATGCTGCAAGTTATGATCTGCCTGTCTTTAATAAAAAGATTTGAAATAAAGTCAAAATGCAACATTTAATGTTTAGTATTTTTTAAAGAATACTCTGGCTGAATGATAAAGGTTACACCTAAAATTAAAATAACAAAATACAACACACACACTATAGGACTATAATACACTTTCCCAAAGTGCTCAAACACACCTGTGTAAGATCCTCTTCTCCCACACCTTAACAACACTATCAATGGACAATACGTAGGTGGAGCACACAATACGTCTTTTAGATCTGATGTTACAAAGTCTTCAAGAATTTTTTTAAAATGGAGAGACAATAGTGCAGATGGTACAACAGGTTATGAGATATAGGAAATAAATAATATTTACACTCACAAAAGCAGTGCTAGTTTAAGCACTGGGATCTAGGGCACGTAGCAACAGCATTAATAAGGGCAATCCTAATTCTTCTTAAAGTCCATATCAGAGGAGTAGATTGTGGTGATAAGTCTGGTGAAGCTGACTCAACACTATAGTAGATGATGTAATTCAAGGTGGGTAATATACTACAAAGAAGGTAAGGTCCAAAGTTTCAAGGTTACAAAATCACAAAATGTATTAAAAAAACAATGAAAACAATAAATGTTGTAGCTTTTTAAGGTTGACCTTTTGGACTTCATTTTCTTTGTAGTATATTACCCTATGAATTACAATGCTATCAAATTTATCAACATTCAGAGAGAATTGTGGGCATCCCGTAACATTGCACATTTTATATTATTTAATTACATTATGAGAGTCAGGAAACAGCCAGTGAGCCCTGTGTGGATGTAGTAAGAGTGTTAATCGCCAGTTTAGGTTATGACCACAAAGGGGTATACCCCTTGCCCAGAGACTATCTAAGTATTTTAGTGGGGCCAACAATTAGCCGGCAGGGTGGAGGGGGGGGAGGGCGATAATCGAGTTTGGCTACTCGGCATTTAGATGCATTCAGCATTAGTCGCTGAGTGTTAAAGCTTCTGCTGGTTGTGAGCTCATTGTGCTTGCATATAAGACTATGTGGAATAACAGAATATTAGTCTAATAAACTTTGCAAGGAAAGTAAAACAAAAAACAAGGAAATAAAATAAAAAGAAAGAACAAAAAACAAAGCAATCTCTAACTGTGATAGACATGTTGAGTGATAATGGTGGAATTGAAAGTCCCCTTGGGTGGGCAAGCCTCTGTCTCCTCAGGTGGGTGGTCTGGCAGGTGAGGCTCTCTGGATTGCTCTCGGAGTAAATTCACAAATGTTGGCCGGGTTCAGCCAGGTTCAGCCAGGTTCAGCCGGGACAGGCCTGTTCCAGTTGTCGTGAGGCATGCAGTATGCCTGTGGATTTTAGGTGCGATTCCAGCTCCTGTGAGGCCTGTGCTCTACGGAAAGTCCTGTTGTGTCTAAACAATAAAGCTTGCAGTGCCCCCCATCTGCAGAGAGTCTTTCTGGCACGAAGGTGTTGCAGGACAGGTTGCAGTACTGTACTTTCTCTTATACGGCAACAATGTATGTACTCTCGCTTTTACTGTTTCCATGTGTGTACTTGTTATACCATAAAAAATCTAATAAAAATATAATGAAAAAAAGGACTAAAAACTTTGTTTTGTTTTCCATATTCACATATTCATTAAATGTATTTTGAGTTTTGTTTTCAGTATGTAATTAACTTTTGATGCAACCACTTTAGGTTGTATTTTTCCTTGTAGCCTCTGTTCTTCAGTCTAGGTCCTTCTTCTCTTTTAAGACTTTTTTTGCTGTACTTTTATGTATTACTCATCCCTTCTTCACATTACATCCAAGAGTGTACAAATGTCCTTGGATTGACTCATCCCTTAAAGGTGGCAAAACTAAACACCAGGGGTGACATAGTAAGCTGTAATGCCGTTGAAGTTTTATTTAATCCCCTTTATAAATAATCTTTCTTTTTATGGCAAGTCATATTCTCACTTTCTGCCCAAGGCAACAAACATATAGATTGAAATCTTGTAACAGCAAAGACTGTGCCAGTGAGTCCTATTCATTCAGTCTCGATGTTGTTCATCATTCTAGCCCTTGAGGTCACAAGAAGCTTAAAGTCTGTGTTTGTTTGTTTTATTTTTTTGTCTTGCACATCATCTCGAAGACAGCAATTATTAAGGGTAGACCATAATAATAAAGCTTAGGGATTATTTATCACAAATACAAATGGGGAAAACATCTACAGCAATAAAGTACACCAATAACTTTATTTTTAAAGTCCCTAAAGAGAACATTCGATAATACGTTTTAAGTAATTAAAAATTAAAGAGAAAAGGAAAAGATATTGATGAAAAATATTGGAGTGCGTTTTATAATGAGTGAATAGTGGAAACTAATCCACCAGGGATGAAATATAAAGAAAAAAAAACAAAAAAGGAAAATTCTAAAATGTTCCTTTACAAGCTGTAAAAGAACTTTGGTATATCGAAGTAATACATATTTAGAATTCTTACAGTGTTAGATGTATTTATTTTATTTGACTTTTAAAAAATTATTTTATTGGATTTTTTTTATATATTTGATGGAGATCTTACAAAACAACCTATTAATAACGCTCACAAATTCAAAGTGGCAATACACATAGCACTAGCTTTTTGTAAATGCTGCTGTCTGTATATCACAATGATATATATCCCTCAGCTGCATCTTGGCATTTTGTGAACTGCACAATGCATGTCTATGGCATTTAGATTCTTGACTCTCTGGGTGGATAAATATATAATATATATATATATATATATATATATAAAGTTCCAATTGCTTGCACTCCTGGATTAATAGTAAAAAGCCCGGTGCTTAACAGCCAAATAATAGAAATAAAGTAATGATAGCACTCCAAACTTCGAAAATATCGTGAAAAAACTTAGCTTTTTATTCAGGCATCTGCCACAGAAGATCAACGTTTCAGTTCTCTAAGGAGCTTTCGTCCTGACACCTGTTGGTATTCAAAATAAGCCTCTGCCGTTTTATTCATCAGCTGGATTTTATACATTAAAAAGTAAGTGCTTACGTGCAAATACTCTTAGAACAGTAATAGGAAAGGAGTACAGATAAGACATAGGGATGAATGTCATGTACACATAACAAATAAGTTCCAAGGTAAGAAAGAGCAAAAAGATTAGAGAAGAGACATCTCAGGTGGGGGCTCTCTGCTCCCGGAACTAGACATATATGGTCTTAAGTGTTGTGTTAAGCATCAAGCATTTCCTGAGTCCAAGTTAGCCAATTTTAATAAAGGATATCATTATATGATACCTATAAGCTTGAGCCTTGGAATCAAGATAAATTCTATCACAATCCCCTCTTTTGATACAAGGGTCATCCAAATATCCAAGGTATTTCCAGGCCTGCTAGCCAAAGTCTGTGGGACTTTCATTTATTGCTTCACCACGGTTCCCATGGACTGAGAGACCACCAGAATGAGCAGAGGAGAGTTCCTTCATTTGTTAGACGAGGTAACATCATAAAACCCTTCCAAATTCTGAGCTGGAATGTAAGTTAAGGTACGACCAACAGTGGGTTTGTTTTTACATAGAGAGGTTAGTAGACATGAGAAAAATATAAAGGTTAGAAAAATGGCTATAATAACAAATATAGCTAATAGCAAAAAGTACAAACTTTTCTTAATTTGTAAAGTCAATGGCTGCTCTGTTCTCAAGGATTGCCTTCTTATTTGCCTGGTTGTCCATAAGTAGCTCTTCTAGGGCCTATGAGGTGGCATTTAAACCCTTTGGAAGGGAACAGGCTACAGCATTAATTACTCGGGTAGATATTTATGGGGTCTATGGGTATGTAGGTACTTCCTCAAGAGTGAGATGGGGGTAGGGACAGCTATAAGACAAGATTCTATGGTGTTTTCAGTACTGAGGAGAGGGTTGAGGCAAAAGGAGGTTAAATTAAAAGCCTTTGCTATCTGCAATTATATATTTCCCTGCTATTCATTATTATCTTCTGGTGTCAAGTCAGAGTAGTATATTTGAACAGAGCATACAATGGTAAAGGATAAGAACAGCTTCAGTCGGTGGATCAGTCAGAGTGACTTGTTTACAGTGACTGGCGTGTACCCACGTTGCTTTTCCTTCTAGTTTCACTGAGGTAGCCGTAGTCAAGAGCACTTGGAATGGACCGTCAAAGTGTGGTTCAAGTCCTTTCCTCACATGCCTCTTTATCACCACCCAATCCCCAAGCTGCAGTTTGTGAGTTGCAGAATCAGAGTCTGGATCTGGAATAGAATCAAAGACTTGTTTATGCACCATGCCTAATATTTGGTGTAGGGCCTGAACATAGGCAGTCATACTACCATGCTGCATCTGGAGGGTTTGGGGAAAATAGAGGCCTGTCTTTGGGGCACATCCAAACAGGATCTCAAAAGGGGATAGACCATGTCTGGAATTGGGGGTGAATCTCATAGAAAAGAGTGCTAGGGGAAGGCATTCAGTCCAGGGCTTCCCTGTGTCTTGCATGGCTTTTGCAATCTTGTTCTTTAAGGTGCCATTTGCCCTTTCTACTTTCCCACTACTCTGGGGGTGATAGGGGTGTGGAAGGCCTGACTGATCCCTAAGGCTTTCATAATTTCTTGCATTATTTCCCCAGTGAAATGGCTACCTCTGTCACTTTCAATCACTTCAGGTACTCCATATCTACATACCAATTCCTTCAGAAGTTTACTTGCTGTGACCTTCATTGTGGCTTTCGACACTAGGTAGGCCTCAGGCCAAACTGAAAAGAGATCAATGCACACCAACACATGTTCATACACTCCTACCTTAGGTAGTTGAATATAGTCTATCTGCAGTCTTTGAAACGGGTAAAGTGGCCTTGGTGTGTGCTTACTTGGTGTTTTGACAGCTTGTCCTGGATTGTTTCTAGCACAAATCATGCAAGCTTGGGTGTGTTTAGCTACTACAACAGTAAATCCGGGTGCTACCCAATGGGTGTTTACTATGCTGTTCATGTGCATCTTGGATAGATGTGTAGGTCCATGGGCAATCTGGGCCATCATGGGGTACAACACTCGTGGCAAACACAGTCTTTTACCTTTCCTCCACATTCTGTCATCATCAAGTTCTGCATCTTGTTTCCTCCAGAGGTCATGGTCTTCCTTGCTTGCCTGTCTCTGTCAGTATATTGTAGTCAACGGCGTCATCTGTAAGAACAACTTGTAGGAAGGTATTACCTGTAGAGGGATGAACTTGGATTGCTGCTTGCTTAGCAGCTTCGTCTGCTTTGTGGTTTCCTCTTGAGATTTCATCTGTGATCTTCACGTGAGCTGCCACCTTGATGATGCCTACTTGAGTGGGTAGCAGGATAACGTCCATAAGTGCACTCACAGCTTCAGAGTTCTTGATTGGAGTTAATGCTGAGGTGAGAAAATCGCGAGCCCGCCACATAGGGCCAAAATCATGGGCTATACCGAAAGCATAACAAGAGTCTGTATAAATATTAGCAGTCTCACCAGAAGCCATTTTACACGCTTCAGCGAGTGCCTTCAGCTCTGCCTCCTGTGCAGAGCAGTGAGGAGCGAGTGGTTCATCTTTTATTACCTCATGTGCAGAGACTACAGCATATGTGGAATTTACCCTTCTCATCAGCATATCTGGAACCATCTACAAAAAACTCAAAATCTGCATTAGATAATGGAGAATCAATTACATGCAAAAAAACCTGTTGTTTCTTGTGCCATTAGTGCTGCACAATCATGGGGTACCTGGGCGTCAGCTAACTCATCTGGTGAAAGTGAATTTACAAAAGATTAGATGTACAAGTACCATTCCCACTATCCCCACTCCCCTCTTTTAAATCCAGGGGAAGTAATGTAGATGGATTTAACACCATACACCTTTTCAGAGTAACATTAGGTGGCATAAGCAAGGCATATTGCCAATATCAGTGGCTTTGTCCAGGAGGGCAGTAACAGCCCCACTGCCCTAACACATGAGGGGGCACCCCTGGTAACAGGGTCCAAACTGGTGGAGTAGTACGCTATTGGTCTTTGTTTACCACCATGGTCCCGTGTAAGGACAGATGTGGCATTTTCTGCTGCATGGGTTAATTTAAAGGATTTGTTTTTGTTGGCGAGACAATCATACAGGGGCTGCATGTAAATTGCTGTAGAAGCCAAGGTCGGCAGTGTGAATCGTAGCTGGGCTATGCTGCGGGGGTGGGGGGGGAGTAATATTTTGAACTGCAGTCTGCCTCTTCCAAGAATTTCAGCAAGGAAAGCGTGTTTACAAAACAAGTCTCCATATTATCGCAACATAGGATTAGGTCATCGATATACTGCAATAAAATTACATTATTTGGCCTTTGCCATTCTTCAAGAATCTGGGCCATAGCCATGCTGTACATAGTGGGTGAGTTTTGTGCGCCCTGTGGCAATACTGTCCAAGTGTCCTGCTTGTGTTTATGTGTAAATGCAATTAAATACTGACTGTCGGGAGCCAGGGGGACACTTAAAAATGCATTTGCCAAGTCAATAACAGTAAATACCTTAGAGGAAGGTGGTGTCTGTGCCAACAAGGTGTGTGGGTTGGGAACATTAGGGGCAATGAGTTCAGTTACAGCATTAATTGCCCTCAAATCATGCACCATACGGTAGACCACAGGTTTCCCTTTCGCTTGCTTTTTCTTAATTTGGTACAATAGTGTGTTACAAGGGGAGGTGGTCTGGACAATTACCCCTGCCTGCAGTAACGCTTGCACAGATTGGGAAATAGTATCTTCCTATGATGGGCTTAGGGGGTATTGTTTTTGATAGGGAGGTATGGCTCCGGGCAAGAGACTCACTTTGACTGCGGGCACAGAGAGTCTGCCTATATATGTCTTCCCTGTAGCCCAGAAGGAATCAGGCTTGAGGACAAGTCAATGGTAGGTTCTGGCACATGGCTCGGCATAGTGAGAGTTGCCAGAACATTTGAAAGAGATATAATTTGTTTGTCCTCCAAAGGCACAGACAATGTTAGTTTTCCAGTGGGGCTATACTGGATATTTGCACTAAGAGCAGACAGTATATCACTGCCTAGTAGATTAGCAGGGGCATCAGTATATTTAACAATTATTCTAGCCCAAATGGGGCCAGCTTATAGGGCAACAATCTGTTTTAAATCCATTCAAGTACACTGGTAAGGAGCTTGAATGTGGATAGAGACTGGACTAGAGCTAAGGGGGCCTTTTCAACATCCGTCAGCTTCTGTATTATTGCCAGTTGTTCACTGGGTGTCCAGGGCTTATATTCTTCCCAGTATTGGATAATGAGACTGGGGTGTCTATGGGGGCAACCAGGGGTTCCCTTAAGTCTGTTGGACTACCCTCCTTCTTGCCCATTCTGGGACCTTAGAGGTCCAAAACATTGATAATATGGTACACCTTTTCTGGTGGTTTCTCTACAACCACATTTAGTTAATTCAACAGCAGTATCATGCCATTTTTGGGCAACTTCTACTAAGTCATTATCTTCTAACCAAAGTCTGTAATGTGCCATAAATTCTCTCCATATATGTGGGTCTAGAGTGCCCTCTGAGGGCATGCCAGCTTTCTTAAGTAACCTCTTAACATTCTTAATTGCTCCTTGTCCTTTGTGATGCTTGACAATAGTCAAAGCCGTAAATCCCCCTTGAGTGCTTTCAGAGCTACCCATCTTAAAACCTGTAAGGGTTAATTACTTCCTTACACAAGACAAACTGTACAAAAACAGTTTATAAGACACTTAGGACCACTGCAGTGGAATTTTCACAGTCTTGTCTTCATTATTCTAAACACAGATCAGGAGATCTGCCCTTGGAGGATTCTAACTCAAATTATAAAACAAATGACAAGGCAAACAATAAAAAAAACTTACAACCCACAGTTATATGTCACTATCTCAGGATTTCTTTCACAAGACATAACACAACCTCCACCTGAATATAACCATAATACCACAGAAAACAAGTTCTTTAGATCAGACGTTTTTAAAATCCGTACCCACCCGGACAGGGGTCTCAAAGAGCACCAGAGAGTCAAAATCATTTATAGGTAGAAAAATAAAAGCTTTTTCTTACCCGCTGCAGCTGATTAACCGTCTGGGCTCCGAGCCAACCCTTCTGGGTCCGGTTGAACTGGATTCGTCTGATCCCGGGGTCACGGCACCAAATTGTTGTGGATCCAAATAATGATCTTTGTTATATTCAGAGGAAGCCCAAATTGTTATTACAAGTACACTTGGAGAAGCGAGAATTAGACACCAGACACCTGTTGGTATTCAAAATAAGCCTCTGACGTTTTATTCATCAGCTGGGTTTTATACATTAAAAAGTAAGTGCTTATGTGCAAGTACTCATAGAACAGTAATATGAAGGGAGTACAGATAAGACATAGGGATGAATGTCATGTACACATAACAAATAAATTCCAAGGTAAAAAAGAACAAAAATATTAGAGAAGAGATATCTCAGATGGGGGCTCTCTGCTCCCGGAACTAGACATATATGGTCTTAAGTGTTGTGTTAAGCATCAAGCATTTCCTGAGTCCAAGTTAGCCAATTTTAATCTAGGATATCATTATATGACACCTATAAGCTAGAGCCTTGGAATCAAGATAAATTCTATCACAATATATATTTTATTTATTTTTTTATTTATTTTATAAAGTGTCAATAATCCATTGTAATAATATGGGCTATTTTATCACATGTAATAAATTGCACTTTTTTTTCTGAGATACATACAAGATTTGATTAAATGTGAGAATATACAATTATACATTACAATGTATTAATATGCCACGTTATTTGTCAAATATTTAGGGCTTTTGTCTTTTTCATTAAATCCTCCATTTTTATTTATGCTCTGCTCTGTATGATGACTGCAAGGTGCAAAATGTAATCTGCCTGAAATATTGATAATAGTTCTAATACTGACATAGAAAAGAAAATAGAAAAGAGACAACATTCAACATTCAAGTGACATTAATTAAAAAGGAAGGCTGTAATGGAAGTCCTAAGTTATAAACGTGTGCAGAAGAGGTAGCATATAAATCGCTATAGTTCAATCAAGATTGGGGAAAACCAAAGAACCGTAAAACATTTGAGACGATAGTGGTGGGTTCAAGCTGATATGCGTCATGCCAATAAGAGTAGTAACTAACTAAATAATGTTCTATAAAACTATAATCTAGACATACAAGGTTCTTCCCTATAGCACAAATTGTTGAGAACTGGCAAGGAAACTCCAAATATAATGCCAAAATAGTACAGCAGGAAAAAAGAACTCACCTATTTATCAAGCTTGACCCATGGCTTATATTTTACATTTCCCTTGCCATCTTCCAGGAATTACTGGTTTAGAGATTAATGCTGTTAGTGTATTCTAATCCTCTGTTTTTCACTCACAATATGAAGTGGTCTGCCATTGTTAATATGACAGATGGTGAATGATGCTGTATTTGTGAAATGATGATAACTGAACTGTTGCTGTGAATAAGGATATTACAAGTAGCCACCATCAGTGGGGATATGAAACAAACTGAGGGAAAGAGAACAAATAGTTCTAACCATTTTGCACAGTCCTGCTGATTGTACATCAAAATTATTTAACATGTCACTCAAGGATCTAAAAGGATTAAATCTAGGTTCCACTTCAAACTTCATTTAATTGGAAATTCAGTAAACGGCTGTGTAACTTTATCTTCCTATTGTATTAACCATCATTACATCATTCAGTTAGAATGGTTTGATGATGTAGTGAGATTTCAAGAATTACAGAACGCAGCATGAATTAATATAGAAAACATATTCATATTTACTGTAATTTTATTTTCCAGGACATATCCATGGTAGTATCCCTCTAAAGTGAAGTCATCCCACTTGGTTGTAAAGGACAGGAAAGAATTATAAATAATTATAAATAGCACAACCCCAATCTATTACCTCCAGTCTGTTAACATGCTCAAAGGAAAAGAAAAAGATAGGAGAGGGGAGGAGGGAAAAGGAAAACTAATTATGGTAAATATTAATGCATTTTCTATATTCCGGACTAATCCCTGGCAGCATCACGCTAGGGTAATACCCGCGATGAAGGGAGAATAAATATTGTAAAAAAATACCCATAAATATAAATACAAAAATAATTTAATATCAGAAATATTTAAGGAGCTACAGACAGAATGTTTCCTCCAAATTGAGAAGTTTCCTGAGCATGTAGATCCAAAGCATAGGGTTTGATAAATGTATTCGATGAAGACCAGGTAGTGGCTCTGTTAATGCTCTTAATAGAAGTTGTTCGTGGTAGCTGCCAAAGAAACATTCAAACCAGTGTGGACTTGGACTTCTGGAGTATGACAGACTTTTGAAATATCACTATTCAAGGACTCAGAGAAGAAATGGATGCAGGAAAAATCTTTTGCATGAACCTGAAAAGATCAAGAAGAGTCTGAAGACTGTCTCCACTTTGAAGACTTACCTAGGTAAATAGAGGTAATCTACTAGGTTATTCACTGAAGTCAGAATTCACAGTGAATTCAAAGTGATTATTTAAGGCCAGACTGGCCAAACTGAAAGCATACATGACTTACAGATTTTACAGTTTGGCTATATTTACCTTTGCATTTGAATTTCACTTTGAATTCTCACTTTCGTGCATAACTCTGCTAGTTATATCCAATCTATACCAGCTTTCATCTTAGTGGGAGATTTTTAAAAGTAAGGTTAAATAATATCTTCATGAATATGAAAATTTGAGATGAATAAATAAAATGTTGAGGCAATGCAAAGGACTAACAGGGAAGAAGATGGTAAAAAGCCCCACCACTGATGGCACCTGAATTTCCGAAATTTTACTCTCTGAAGTAATAGCTGCGTGCAAAATACACTCGAGAATCAGAAGAATATCCAAATCTCTTCTAGTGGTTCAAGGGGAGGAAGGGAGAGATCCTTCAGGACTAAAGGATGGTTCCATGGCGGAGAGAGAGATTTGATAGGAGGTGTTACCTTCCTTACAGAAATCTTGAGACCATAGGATCCAATGCCCATCTAATGCCAATGAGAGCAGTCAAAACTGAAACTCAAACTTGAAGAGAATTAAGGATAAGGATTATCTAAACCTGCTTGAAAAAAAATCCCCAAAAATTAGATATTGAAGGAGAAGACAAAGGTAATTCATGATTTATGGGACTAATCAGCAAAAGCTGATAATACGTGGAGGAAGTGGATCTTCACCTTGTCTCTAGCAATGTGATTACCACTGCTTCCAAAAGCCTTTAGAAATTAAAAAAAAATCTTCCTTTCATCTTCATGCCATCAAACATAGGGTAGCTGGAGATGGATGGACTGTCAGACCTTGAGTCAGAAAGTCAGGAATTGGCAGTAATCACCACAGAGGTTCCAAAGCTGCAGCTCTGGGGAGCATAAACTAAGGCCTGCAAGGCCAAAATGAATTTACTGCTATGACCTGGAGATATTCTTGTTTGATTCTCCTCAATTTTCTCCAAATGAGAGCTCAAGAGGTAAGTCAAGTTGAATGTTCAAAGGTTGGAGATAGCATCCAAAGCTAGGGCCTTGGGGTGAAACCATCAGGAAAGGAAAACTGTAAGTTGGGTGTTGGAGGCTAATGACATGAGATCTACCTGTGAAACAACAATTCTCTAGAAGGGAAAAATATCTGAAGATAAAAAGGACATTCAGAAAGATCCAGAACATGACAGCTGTGGACATCTGCCCGTGTGTTTTTCAGTCCTGGAACATAAACTTTGGTTAGGTTAAGGCCAACAATATGGGTCCCAATGTGATCTCGATGAAAATGTCTTAACAAGCATGTTATAATAATACCCATGTTTGTCAATATACTGCTAACCCCATAGGATTAACACAGGGTTCCTGTCACTAACTAAGGCCCTTTTCCCCAGGCCTGTCTAATTTTGGAAATGGTATGCCATGATAAGAATCATTTTTTTTCCTGGGCTGCCATACGGTTTCAAGGGCGACATAGGCCCAGCAAGTAAATTTGGCAAATTGCAATGTGTAAACACTGAAATGGGTAAGCTTTTTATTTGACTCTGTAACGTTCCAAAACACCATGAAAACTATACATGGCGGGCATCATTGTACTTGTGGGACATCACAGCATACAAGTATGTGTGTTTTAGTTCTTACTATTTTTTTAAGATTTCTTTTTTTTTATAGTTCTTTATAATTGCAGTGCAGAGAGTAACATACATGCTGACAACGGCATAACAGCAAGATCAATACATTTAAAAAATATGAACTTTGTATGTCTAATATAGCACACTTTAAAAAAAAGAAATTTAGTAACTGTAGATCAGTCAAAATACACAACTTGCCAGAGGGCAAAAGTCATAGAGTATATATATATATATATATATATATATATATATATATATATATATATATATAGTAAGATTAAAATTGCTGTAAAACATGCTCGTCAAACTAAGAAGGTAAATGACTACTGCAATTTTTTTAAATTTTTTTGTTTAGATATTATTCATATTAAATTGAGTTCCATATATAATTATTTGATGTGAAATGAAACCGATGTTTATACTGAACAAAATTATATATGATGAACGTGGTTGCACTTAATATGAAAGAGGTGAATTATGATTCAACCCTCAAATAGCTCAAATTCTATGTTTGCTCTGATTTTGTTTTGGTTACATGTTGCAATATGTACAAAGCAATATGATACTTGTATTTATTGGTGTGTTAAAGACCAGAATTAAAGTGGATCTAATCCTTTGAGGGTGTAACTAGTTTTACTGAGACACAAAATCAAATAAATAAAAAAATTACAAAAAATTAACTCTGCTGATTCATTACAGAGTTACTTAGAAAGACATGGAGTGTCAGGGCAGATATCAGAGTAGCCTGCGTTAGTGGTATAATTATGATGATTTAAAAAAAAAAAAAAAAGCTAATATATCAAAGCAAAAGAAGCAAAGAAAAATAAAATTATATTTGTGTACTTAGTTTGAAAATAAATATATAATTTAATGTTCAAAAAATAGAAAAATATAAATCAATAAATGTAAAAAAAAAATACTTCTCAAAAGAACAAAACAAAAACTTTGTAACAAATATATTAACTTAGCAAGCAGACAATATAAGGGGGATACAAAGATATATACACAAATATAAAAAGGAGAAAAAAATTGATACCGTGTTTACTCCAAAGGCAGCAAAATCTGAAACTTGGATTTTCTAACAATCCAAAACAATTGGGAGCAAAAGGAAAAAACAGGTTGCACCAAATAGTAACATGGGTATAGTTCAACACTGTATATCACCTAAAAGTGATGTCATAAATGGTATAAATAAGTAGTCCCAGAGTTGTTCTTCGGTGTACGGAAGGGTCTTGATAAGGCTGACAAATTCAACAGGCAGTGTGGATGGTATCTTCACCAACGCGGATAAGTTCAATACCTGAGCCTATCCGAGTTGGTGAAAATGATACACTGCCTGTTAAATTTGTCAGTCTTATCAAGACCCTTCTGTGCAGCAAAGGTCACTTTTAGACTACTTACATATACCATTTATAACATTGTTTTAGGTATCTTATATAGAATATTATTGAACTATATCCACATTAGCGTAATACCTATTAAAAGTGTGTGTGTGTGTGTGTGTGTGTGTCTGTCTGTGTGTCATGGTGTGTGTGTCTGTGTCATGGTGTGTGTGTGTGTGTGTGTGTCTGTCTGTGTCATGGTGTCATGGTGTGTGTGTGTATGTCATGGTGTATGTGTGTGTCTGTGTCATGCTGTGTGTGTGTCTGTCTGTAATGGTGTGTGTGTGTCTGTGTCATGGTGTGTTTGTGTCTGTGTCATGGTGTGTGTGTGTCTGTCTGTGTCATGGTGTGTGTGTCTGTGTCATGGTGTGTGTGTCTGTGTCATGGTGTGTGTCTGTCTGTGTGATGGTGTGTGTGTCTATGTCATGGTGTGTGTGTGTGTCTGTATCATGGCGTGTGTGTGTCTAGAAAAAACTCTATAGAGGCATTTAAAGTAAGAAGTATGTCATTTTAGATTGTATTGCTTTTCACTAAGTACACCTTACAAAATGAAGAAGTGCCCCTGACCGCCAAGATCCTTGCTGATTTTTTTCAAAATGGAGGAGTGATCTGCTGATCTAAACTTGCTAAAGGGACACTTCTTGTTACGAGAAGACTTGGGGTGTGTGGCAGTTTTACGTATGTAACATTGGTTACGGCATAGGGCATGTGGGGCAGACAGGAGGTACATGCCTCAGCATCTCCCAGACACCCCCAGTCCTTTTCCTTCCTGCTCTTTCTTTCCCCTTCAGAATACTTCCTCCTTCCACCTCCTTTTTTCTTTTCTTTTTACTTTTTATTGATTTTCTCTCTTCCTGTCTTAAACTTGTTCCTGCTTTTTCTCCATGCGGTACTTTGCTTTTTCTAGTCACACATGATGTCTACTACTGATGTCTACTAACACTACTTCCCTAAGCAGTGTTTTGACTTTGGGACTCCCCGAGCCCAATTTTTTTGTGACCCTGATGCAGTACATGGTTTATGGTGAGCTTCTAAGGTTATACACTTTGTGACGCACTTCTTCATTTGGCTTTGCCTTAAATATTGGACTGTAATGAAATGTGGTGGTTTATACATGTCAATTGGAACATATATTTTAAGTGTACTATCCAAATGCTGCATATTCGAGCATAACTGTTCACATGGAATTATATGTACTTAAATGTCTTTATTATGTCTCTAGATTAAAATTCTATAAAATAAAGATTGTCAAAATTACCTCAAGATGAGAAGTCTTTCAATTCTTTGTGGATAGCCATAGCTGTCACCCTGAAGCTTCTTATAGTGAAATACCGTCTGGAAATCATTATACATATTTTTTTTAGCCATTGAAAAAGGACAGGCCACGAGGGATGGACAGTTACTTACTTTTTTTTTAGATTACCTGTCTTACTTCAAGCTGAATTAATGTTTGTTTGTTTTTAAAAAAATTAATTATATTTTAAAGTTGCTCTTCCCCATAAATGTTTTATTTATTTGCAGTTATGTGTCTGTTTTTTATTTCCATCAGACAGATGTGTACAGGGAAAAAAAGGATTTATAGGTGCTCACTATAATCAACAGAAGTGGTTGTGAATAATAAAGGAATTCCCAAAACCTCACTACACAAAACAAATATAACAAGAGAAACACTGCGCCAGATGGAATGAAGTGTATCTTTACAGAATATTCCAAATATAAATGACCTCAAACAGAAAAAAAGAAAACAATAGTATAATACAGTACAGATAAATTCAAATATATATGTGCTGGTGATGGTAATACATTCATGTGTTCCAGAGCTACCTAAGAGCTCTGCTGAAAGAAGGCATGGGCGGTATAATCCCCGTCTCAGGATATAGGTAGATCTAGATTGGAGAATCACTTGCTTTATACATTGTTTTAAAACTTTATTTTATATATCTTGTAAATTAAATAAAGTAAATTTGTTCCATATACTCAACCCATATCTTCATCCTGCTTCCTGGACATCTTCTATATCCCAAGGTGGGGATTGGACCACCTAAGGCGTATTAAACTAGAGCAAGTCCTGCTCTAGAAAATGTAAGTACATTTTCATTTACACATTCTTATAATATAAACATACATCACATACATCACTATTGGAGTATCTTTTGTTTTATATTTCCTGTACATGCTGGAATAACACACTAAGTGATTCTACCATATCCTGAGACGGAGATTATATCGTCTGTGCCTTATTCAGCAGAGCTCTTAGCTAGTTCTGGAACACGTGAGTGTATTACCATCACCAGCACTCAGGAGTCTTTCAAGGTAAATTTAATCTGTTGCTTTATTGAGCAATTACAAATTCACACAACGTTCCAGTCATATATATATATATATATATATATATATATGTGAATTTATCTATACTGTATTATACTATTATTTTCTTTTTTTCTCTTTGAGGCCATTTATATTTGGAATATCCTGTAAGGTATACAGTTCACTGTTACACTTCATTCCATCTGGCGCAGTGTTTCTCTTGTTATATCTGTAGACGTGTACAGGGAATTATTATGACTGTACGAGCAACATGGGAAATGTAGTCCACAACATCTGGCGTGCCAAAGGTTGCCTACTCCTGATCTAGTATATGTCAATCAAACAGTCACTAGAGGAAATTCCTCATAAATACTTAAAAGAAGAGTCAAATCTTCACTTTCTGTGTTATGATGATACAGAAGGCAATTAGGTCCTCTGGAGAGTCAGGACTCAGAGTCAGAAGTGAAGACTTTAAAGTGAAGACTTTACTTTTCAGTATTTATGAGGAATCTTCCTCTTCTGTTAGATCCCCATTCTCAGTGAGCTGTATTACAGCTACAGCTGTATTACAGTTCACTGAGATGCATAGGAAAGCTGCATAGGATGCATAGGAAAGCATGCAAGCTCACAGTTCCAACACAGAGGCTTCTCAACGAGAATTCTTAGATCGGAGCATCCCCTGGGACAGACTGAAAATGTGTGCCTGGGGGAAAATGAGATTGTGAAGACTACAGACAGCATGCCTGCAGCTTTTCCAAGCTGTTTTTTCATAAACCACCAAAGAAAATATGCAGACAAAAATAAATGCATGTTTGCTATGGGGCTATACCTATCAATTCATATTTTATTTTTATTTTTTTTATTTTAAGAAATCACAGAATTTTAAATATTTTAATTTAATTATTAAGGTAAATGTTTAATTTTGCAAATGTATGTACAGGCCTAGAATCTATAGTAATGCAATCCACCAAATCCCAATCACTCAAAATAGCTTTAAATCTATGAATGCATAGAATGATGAGCACGTCTGTTACCCGACCTATGCGTACATCACCTATAAATCAACCTATTAGACCTATAATCTTGGAGTCGTATGCTTTTTATCTTAGTTACCAACCTGAATAATTAAAAGCCAATAATATTGAATCTAAAACGGTAATAACACAAACTACCACACATAAATTTATTGGGATTTATTTCTGTATTTTTTCACCAAATTAATTTAAAAAAAACCCACTTTAAATATGAACAATTAATTTATTTTATCAGTTCTCTAGGGAACTGGTACTCAAGTGTTACACTCAAGTAAACCCTAATATGTAAATATAAACATACAAAAAAATAATTTACCCATTTTTCACTACAAATGATGACTTACATAAAAGTTAACTTATTTTATATAAAATTTTGCTAAAAACATATCGATGTTTTAAATTGTAGAGGACTATATCATCAAGATAGATTTGTTAAGATTTCTTAGAAATATAAAAATCAAATATATCCTAGAATTAAGAAATGTAAAATTAATTGAACACATCACATCTACAGAAAATATAAAATGTCTAATTGTTCAGGAGACATTAGGTTGTTCGTTGATGTAATCGACCTTATCTTTGTTTTAGTGCATAATCACTATTGAAAATGTTCATATTTTGCAGTACACATCAAAAAGGGAATAGGCAGAGTGCATTCTGTAGAATATGGAAAATGGGAGTGCAATATCAATAATAAAAATCCATGGAATTAAGCCGAAAACAACAGCTTCCAATCCATTATCATATTGTGGACGACAACCAAAAGCTGGTGGGATCCACAGCTGAAAAACAAAGAAATTATCTCATGTCAACATTTTCTGTATTTTAATAAACCTCATAATTGTTTATCTTGTATAGTATGATATAATGGCTTGAAGAACTAGATGGGTGAGATGGTCAAAGTTGGGATTATACTGAGAAATTTCTAAAAATGTTTCCCCTAGACATGACATCCCAAGGAGATCAGGAGATTATGTACAAAAAAAGTCTCCCAAGTTCTGTACTAGGCACAAGTGAAACGTACAGTTTGCTTTCTGAGTAGTTACTTCTTAAAGGGCAATCGTTACATGTTCAGGCCTTGCAACACTCTTGATTCAGTGGGACAGTCATGCTTCCAGCGTCTTCATATTCTGCATACGAAAGATAAATGATTTCCTATGGGGAAGGCTTAATGTACATGTGGAACTCGCCTCGCATGTCGATTAGATTTCCCCTGATTGCAGATGTCAGAGGAGGCAGAGACAGAGCCAGCGCCGGTGGCTGGTTAAAGGTTTTTTTTAACCCTTACAACACTCGGGAGTAGGGGTGGAAAATTATCTTAGTGCATAGGGACACTGTAGCGTAAGGAATACAATTTTGTATTGCTAATGCTATAGTGTTCCTTTAAAGACACATTACTGTGCATATTATTGCTGTGGTGTTCTATTATACACTCAGACTCATCTACAATATGGCACTCCTAGAAATAAAGGGACATTAGGATAGAAAAGGGTGAATGTTCAAAATAGGGTGTCCTCCTAAAGATGGGCGGTTAGGAGGTATGACATTGTGATTGTCTAGATAATATAATGTGTACCAGTGTTTTTAAAAAGAACTATTTTTCCAAAATGGTTTCAGAACATTCACATGTAGTAGTGTACATTTCTATTTTGCTTGGACATATGACCTATTCTCATTTTACTGTGTGTACACAGCTTTATTATTATAATTATTATGACCTGTTTTTTTCAACAGAGGTCAATTATTTGATGGGCTCGTACATGCAATATGTCACCACAGACAAACTGACCATTTTTTGTATAGAATATATAACTTCCCGTAAAGCAGAAGAATTACCCCGAAGAGCTTCTCAGATCTTTAATATGTACATATATACACTAAAGAATACAATTTTGGTATAATATAAATGCCAATTGGTCACTCACACTTTAAAGCCAAATAAAGAACCTTCCTACGATAACTGGTGGATGTTTCCCCAGGTCTTGAGCTTTATTGGTTTCAATGTCAGTCATTGAGAAAAAGACAAGATGTAATCAAATAAATTAGCAATACAAATAAAGTGCACAAAAAAATCTGAAGGCTCTTTATTTGACTCAAAAGTGTGAGTGGCCAATTGACATTGATATCATACCAAAATTTTATTATACAGTTTTGCACTATGTTGTACCATTTTCATTTTTTCCTATAATCTATATATGCACATATGGAAGATCTGAGATCTTTGGGGTAGTTCTTCTGCTTTTAGGGAACTTATGTGCCAAACTGATAGCACTCTTTCACTTAGCACTTTATTGTGGAGTTTTGAAAGTCACTATTTGAATGTATTTTATACTAATAATTCAATCCTAAATATATGTTGTTTACATCAATTTAGTCAGATAACAGTTAGGAAGCTCAAAGATATCACTTTATGGCCTTCACTCTGAAGCAGTTGTATATAAAAGGCCATTGAAACATTTTATTGGCTGCTTTTGCCCTTTGTCTCAACTACATTTTGCGTGTTATGTGTATATTTGTAGATATAAGTATTTCTAAATACAAGTAATCCCTGAAGAACTCTACTGGTAAGAAAGTACAGCTTAAGGAATTCTGCCATTTATATTACTCTAAAAACAGTTTTACTGTTATTTCTTATAATGTGAGTAGATATTAGTTGCACTTGCATACTGGATTTTAAAAATGATGTAATAAAACATTTTCCTATTTGAGTTGGCCACAACAGGGGCTAACTCATATGCACAATTACACTCCACACAAGGCCAACGCTCCTTACTGGAACTACAACTAACGCACGTCTAGATTTACAATCTCATACTTGGAAGGTAAAGGTGCTAGTATCTACGAATCAAATTAACGTTTCAACCCAAGACACAATTCTCCCCCTTGGTGTCCTCCCATCCACTTTTTTTCTTTTTGCTTTGTTTTTCGATCAGTGCAGGGGAAGCCCTGAACGAAATCTGTGCGGCATCACTACCACGTCTGTTGAGGGTCTACAGGCATCTCCTCACAATGGTCATCCACCTCCCGCCTCTACAAAACGTAAACACTGAACATTCATAGAAACTATACTCAACATGCTAGGCTACATGATAAACCTGAACTCTCACTAACTGTAGAACTGCAAACCATGTATAATGCTAAACTGTATAATGTGTCAAGTTATGGTACTATAAAAAAGATTCCCTTGAACGTAATGCTTCAACTTTCAACCAAGGTATTTCACTTTGACCACGACATACCATAGCAAATTCAACAAATTGACACCACCAGTCATCCTATAATTGGTCATAGCGAGAACTAAAGTCTCAGGCCCTCTGGTTTGGGGTTTTCCTTTCCCCCTTCCCTTCCCATACTCTCCTCCCCCATTCCCTCACTTCTAGCTAAATTACCTATTTCTATGCAGAACATATCACAGAGAAAGATAACAAAGAAACACCAGATACTTCTCCCCACAATATAAGTCTAAGAGTGTTGTAGATGATGGGCAAGGCAACGCTTACTACCTAACCTGTTGAGTAGCCTGTATATTCACCACCACAATGCAGTTGAGGATCCCCACCTACTCCAGTATGTTGGAAACTCCAACTGATTAATTGTCTCCACCCCTGGCACCACAAAGGGTTCAGGTGCAACAGGACCTTCCAAAAATGAATATGATATGTGACAGTTGATTTTAATATGAGATGTATTTACTGTGTCTGATACAATGGAATATACTCTTAAGCTGAATACTTCTTTTTGTTTTTTGTCCCACCCCCCACTTACTTTCTGTATCCCAGTTATACTTGCAAAGTCAATAAAACACACATTGGAAGAAGAAAAATTATGTAATAACTTACCGAGATATTGCTGATGAATAGGGCAACTGTAATGTTTTTTAGCACTTGTTTCTTTAATCCACCATTCCCTGGATTTGTATTGTTGCTTGGCATGTGATCAAAAGCAGGAATGGAATTATTTTCTTCATTTTCTTTTTTGTCAATATTATTTGATAAAGAGCCATTCTCTCGCACATCTGGTCCACCACACGGTCCTACATGATTATTGTCATCAGATGATGCAAGTTGAGGTTGCTTCAAATATATATTGGGAATTTTATCAGTACATATTTTCTCATCCTTGCGATATATGTATGTAATTATGAAAAGGTTTTGGATGTACTTTTCAATCAGGACTAAAATAGAATAAGGTAAATTATACCAAGTATAGGTTGGGTGACTTTCAGCGTAAATGACTGCCAAAATAGATCCCCATGATGTGATCCAAGAGCCGCAGGCCGAACCCACTAATAGCTCTTCATCCAGTTTTAAGGATGGACTTTTCTCCACTACTGCAGGTTGTCTGTCCAGTCTGTGAAGGATGAGACCAACAACTGCAGCTATGCACATTCCACTCAGCACCACAGCAGAATACAAGTAGTAAACAGTTAATGCCGCCTCGCTACTTTCCTTTGAGCGTCCGATGTTGAGCAAATAAAGGACAACAACTCCGATTGTTACAGCCAGGACAATGAGTCCAAAAATAACACCGACAACCACACCTTGAAATTTTAGATTAGTTTTATGATGGCGATGTTTGATGCTGCGCCCAATATTCTTCCACAGGACATACAACATTGCAGAAGCTAAAATATGATACTCTATGTTGAATGGGTAAACATAATATGTACCTATGGAAAATGCATCACACATACCAGTTGTACAGTTACAGTGTGGGTGGCTTGCAACTGTAAGGGGAACAGAAGAAACACAAAAAAAAAAAGAATGTGATACAATTGTATTTTGTTTAAATGTATAGTTAACTTAATATGCATAGTATTACTGAATAGAAAAACATGTAATTTGACAGCAGAGGATAGTGTAAAATGGAAAAAGGTTAACAGGACATGTCTCTGCCTCCATATACAACTTTTTTTCCATTTCACAGGGCTCAATAGTATACAGTCCCTTGTTTTTTAGCGGCCATCAACCAATGCAGGCATATGACCCAGTATATCGTGCTATTTTGCTTACACATTCCATTTGAGACTTAAAGGGACACTCCACTGCCCAAATACAAAATAAATCAAAGTTACTGTTTAGTGGCTATACCCCAAATGAAAACACATTTAATTAGGTATTTTTTTAATTGGGGGGGTAAATCTGAAAACATATTGCAAAATCTGCAGTTCTCTCTCCTGCAGTGCAAGCATGTTGCCTTTGCAAGCTCTCCCCTTTTAACCCCGCCCAGACTTTCTGTGGCTGTCCAATCACAGACTACCAATCACAGCTCAATGAGAAGTAAGTCAGGTGCTCTGGGCAATTGCTGCCTCTTGAAGTCACCTGCATTGAGGTTAATTGATAAAAGTGTAAATTTCTATTGAAATCTGGACTTTTTGCAAAATGACACCTAAAGCTTTTTAGCATGTTAAAGGAGTATATTGCATGAATGCATTGTTGCAGTCCTATTTGCATGGTATTTAATCATTGTTTTACATTTTTAATTGATCGTTAGAATTCTCATGACAATACAATCATCGAAATTAAAGGTGGGGCAGAAAAGTTGTAAATGGTATATCCAAATATTATGACAAGTTTTGAAATAAAAAAGAATTATAAAAGAAGAGGCAATACGAGGGCAGGGAAGGTTTGCATGCCAAAAGAAAAGAGCGTGGAAGGGGACATTTGTAAGTATAGCAGTTCAGGTGTCCCATACCTTGTGAAAGTATCTAAGACATTAAAGAAAATAGGAGAGATTTAAAGAAATGCAGTACAAATAGTGTAAATGTTCACTGGTCCCAAGCAGTTAAGTAGATTTGGATATATACAGTATATACTGTATGCATTGGGGCTGATGTGTACTATGGTCGTTGCTGCCACCCAGCAGTGATGTTTGAGTGCAGGACCTGTTTTTTTGTATTTGTATTCACTTTTTGTATCACACAGCTATGTTACAATGCTGCCGCCCATCCCATGTGTTCCCTATTATGGGTTAATAAGCATATAGGGGTGTATATAAACAATACCCCTTTCTGTCTCATTAGAGATATCTTTGCCAGAAGCTCACGGAAGCAAGGTGAAAGGTTAGTGTAGGACCCACCTGAGAGGTTTGCCTTGACGTGGCAGGTGGGCATTCCCTCCAATGGCCATTGGAGTAACTAAATAACCTCCATTTGTTCAAATAAACATAGGGATTTGGGAGAGGGCGTGGGTAACTTTTTTTTTTTTTTACTGTATGTATTGGGGCTGATGTGTACTATGGTCGTTTCTGCCATCCAACAGTGATGGGAGTTTGAGCGCAGGACCTGTTTTCTTAGATTTGGATATATATTGCAGTTTTCGGTATCTTAGGAATTGTGATCTTTGGTGGAGAATGCTGGAAATACAGAGAAGAGAGGCTGTATTTTTATTAGACTTGTGTAACAAGTTGTGTCCCTGTTCTCCACAAGGTCCACGGGGGAGTGCCCCTTGCATGGGAAATTGTATAAAAGCCAGTGTGGCACCAATAAAGCTTCAGTCTTGTTACATCCATCATCAAACTTTGGCTGATGTTTGGGTACCTGTTCACTACCTTGGGAGAATCTGCTGGGAAAGCTGTGTCTGATCTGGAGTAAGAGACGAATGGAAACCCGAACTGCGAGCTATAATCACTCATGCTCATAGCAGTTCGGGTGGAAACTGACGAACCGATAGCTACCACATCAGGGTTCGTTACATTACTAAATATTACTTATCCATAAAATTGTGGCAATACCATAAAAGGTGCAGGTAGTTTTACATTCTATGTTAAAATTTCAATCCATAGAAAAGGTAAAGGAACACCCCAAGAACCATAATCACTAGAGTGATGTCTTGGTTATGTTGCCATTACTTGGTGCCCTTCTCCTATTGTAAGAGGTCAAATTATTTTTGTTCTGACCATTTACCTGTTGTCTGACGGGCACACTCCCCACCTCCACTACAGCTCTCATTTAGCAGAAAACTCCTTCTTAATAACTTTTGTTAGCTCTACTGGACTAAGACATGCAGAACATCAAATGATTGCACAGATAGAGCCAAGAGTTCTAGAATGTTTTTTTGTTGTTGTTTTTTTAAACATTCCTAAAATGCTTTCATTGCTTATAGAGGGGCCTGGCACCATAGCCACAACAGAGCCTGGTGTGTTTTTTTTAGATGGATCTGGGGGGAAGTTGGAAATGATACATAACGTGTTATTTTATTATTCATTTATTTTGTAATTTGATATATTTTTCTTATCATTTTGTTTTGTACACATTGTAACATTAAGGGTTGATTTGCTTAGAGAGGGATTGACAGTTCTAAGAGTTAATTCACCTGTGAAGTTTTAATTTGTTCCCATGTTTGGGATGGGCATTGATGTATTTAAAGGTGGTGTAGGGTGTGTAGTAAAGATCTATGATTAAGACCAGCACTGTGTAGGTTGAAACACATTAAGTGACTGTATGGATTTATTTTTTGCTCTATGCTGAATATTATTGATAAAGGTTCCCTTCCTCATCTGCTGAGATTTGAAATTCCTTCAGTTTTAGAAAAGAAACAAAATAAAGATATTTTACTTGCCCTTAATATCATGTTTTATCTATATCCATATTATAGCCTTTATCACATTCTATCTATCAATAATTATTGACATGTTTAGGCTGGCGACTAGTCATTAACCCATTGTACAGCACTACGGAATTTCCTGGCGCTATATAAATAATAAAATAATAATAATTAACAATGTCAACATAATCACAATCACACATTCCTATACATTTTCACGCTACTTTCCTCGTTACCAGTGGATAAAAAAGACCCAATACATTGTGTTAGCAGTCAAGCTTCATAAGAGATCACAGTCATTCCAAATAAAACGTATAAGGACATTAACAAAATCATTGTACCCTTATTGATTTTAAGCAAAAAATAATTTCTAAATTAAAAAAAAACACTATTCAACAAATTAACTAACAAAATGAAAATGCAAAAGCAAACAAATACTACCCCCCCCTCCCGCCACCCGAGATGATGCTTGTAAGGAATGATCCCCATTGATCAGTTAAATCAATTATAGGACAAATACGTTCCCACTATTCTAATTAGGAACATGGACACTATAGTGTTAGGTATATCAGTTTGAATTCCTAAAGCCACAGTGTTCCTATAAGAGAATTTGTCCCCCCTGTACGTTAATTCCCAATCACATTTATCGAATGATTTTTCTCAAGCAGCCGTCCCGCTTATTGCACTTGGCTCCTAGCATTTCAGATTGCATAAAATCCAGTTGAAATTCAATAACAATATCATCCAAAATTGGTCAATACTTATCGACCTGTAGAATTAATTCAGGATCAAACTGTCATGTTCTGAAAAATGGAGCAAAGTCCTAAGAGTAGAGCAGTTACCATGAAAATCGGTGGGATCAGCCAGATTGTTCCATTGGTGACTACTCTCTCTTTACACATTTGTTGCATTTCCTTGAATAGTTCTTCTCTGGATACATTACCCGATTTACTGCACCACGCGATCCAATAATACAGTGCCAGCTTCATCTGAGCCTAGGTGTGATCTTTGAATGCCTTTTGTAGTTATTGACACCCATTGTGTTGGTATGCCTGTACTGTACACCATCATTTAGATGTATTACATTATTTTATCATTTGGATTTACAAAAAAAAAAAACTAAAAAACTTTACAACCTTATAAAAAGCCTGTGATCTAATTGCACGTACCAAGAGTTATATTGGTGAATCCAAGGGAGGTCAGCCGTGCCATATGTTCTTCAAGTTGATGTTTTGATTCTGTTGTCACTGCACTTACCCACAGGAGTAAGTTTGTAAACACAGAGTGGATTAATCCAAACCTAAAAAGCAAAATAACAAAAAAAGAATGTAATGCAAAAATAAACAAGTAAATTGGAGTTATACATTTTGTGAAACAAATATGAAACACTTAATAGTTGCAATGTGCGTGCGGGTGGAAGGCCGGGAGAAGTATACTTTCTTGTGCTTGTGCTTTATCAAGCATAGCCAGATTACCCATTAGGTGGCGTAGGCAGACACTTAGTGCCCAGGTTCAAAAAGGGGCTTTCTAAGCCTCGTGATCTGTCTCTGTCTTTGAGGCCCTTTTTGAGCCAGCAAGGCGATCAAAAGATATCCCTGTTTCAGGCTGGTGGCCACATTAGGTGATGCAGTGCTGCGCTAGGGCCACCCCCTAAGATATCAGGGTTGTTTTTACAACCTGGTTGTTTTATTGTATATTCTACATCCTGGCTTTCTACAACACCCTGCTTTGTTAACCCCCTTAAGGACACAGCCTCAAAAGCTTGTTTTACCCGTAAGGACACAATCCATTAAAAAAAGCCACAAAATGGGGAAAAAAACCAAAGGTTTAGTAGCCATCACAGAAAACAAAATTGCCACAGAAAAGTATATATTTATATAAAGTAGATATCATGGGCTATTTACTTAAGGTTATTTTGACACTTTTAACGTAGCCATTTCATCACCAATCTCTGCTAAATATTGGAGTAAAATTGATTTTTTTCCTTTATTTTGGCATATACACAAGGTTTTTGCAATGTGTATTTAGTAAAGCTGGTGTGTGCTATCCCTGTACAGAACCCCATATTGTGTTAAGCTACATCTGCTGAGTATAACGATACCCCTATTGTATGCCTTTGGCACTATTCTGTGAATCTACAATGCCATATAAGAGACAAGGCTATTTCAGTTTCTATAGTTAGAATTTTCATAGATGGATTTGACGGGCCTATGTCTTCATTCGGTGTTTGACTATTCAAATAATCCCACAAAGGGCTTTCATTTGACAAAGCAGACACCCCAGGGTATCTTATATGGCGTATATTGTGCCTTAATTTGCCACCATTTTTTCACCAATTTATGTCAATGTTTGTGGTGGGGGGGGAGGAATGGCATTTTTACATATATGTTTAATTTTTTTTGTTACACTTAATATGTACCTCTGTCATAAAAATCCCCACGTTATGCTTAGTTATATCTTCTGAGTAAAACAATATGCCCAATGTATGACCTAGACACTATTTTGTGAAGTTACAGTGCTGTAAAAGAGACGTGACAAGTTCAGGTTTTCAAGTGTGAATTTCCATGGAGGATTTTGATGCATCCGCGTCCCACTTTGGAGCACTTAGCTCTCACTTAGCAGGCAACATATTATAACTACACCATAAAGACATACCATTTCTTAAAGAAGACATCCCAGGGTATTTCAAAAGGCATATTTTGAACCTTAGCGTGGGATCATTTTTCCATTAGCTTGTACTAAGTGTAGTGGTAAGCATTTTTCTGCCTTTTTGACACACAAAGTGAGTATGCACAGTATATTTTGCAAACCCTATGTGTGCTATGGCTGTGTAATACTTCATATGTTGCTCAGCTATGTCGTCTGAGTACAACAATACCCCCGTATGTACCTTTGCCAGGTATATGTGGAGGGTGAAGGGGCACATTTGAGATGCAGCCATTCAGTTTTTTTCAAATGTAGAAGTTTTATGCTGTGTCCATGTTCCATTTTGGAGTAGTTTAGCTGGTTTGTTAAGTAAACTACTTATGCCTACGCATGCCATTTTTAAAGAATACAGCATGGGGTATTTCAAAAGGCATATTTTGAACGTTAGCATGGGATCATTTTTCTGCTAGTTTGTTCCAGGTGTAGTGGTCATGTGAATTTTTAATGCATTTTTTTATTCATTTTTTACTCTTTTAAACTTTTTTACTTTTTAAAACTTGTTTTTAAACTTTTTTTACTTATTAAATTTTTACAAACTTTTTTTTACCTTTAACCCCTAACTAGCAGTAATGTGCACTAACAGTAAATTTCCCAATTTCCCATAACTCCCACCCACCCCAGCTAGCAAAATATATAATTTAAAATATTTAACTTAATTAAGTTGAACCCCTGAGGGTTAAAAAATAAATAAAAGTTAATCCTCTGGGGGTTTAATACTGTGGTCTGTATTTTTGATCACTGTAGGCAGTGATCAACTGGCAGGCAAGTGGTTAATTTTTAATGGGCTGGATAAAGGGGGTGGGATTTTTCTTACTTTTTTTTTTTAAACGTTATTAAAACATTTTTTAAAAACTTTTCTTAACGTTAACCCCTAGCTAGCCTAACACCAAATTCTCCATTTCCCCACTTACTTCCACCCACCCCAGCTAGCTAAATATAGAATTTTAAAATATTTAGATTAATTAATAAAATAAATTTAACCCCTGAGGGTTAAAAAAATTAACCCTAAGGGGTTAAAAAGAAATTCAGCTGACAGTAAAATGTAGTCCCTGCCAATTAATCACTGTAGTCAGTGATCAATTGGCATGGAAGGGGTTAATTTTATTAAAGCAGGGGAAGGGGGGGGGATTTAACTTAAACTTTGTTTTTTTACAGGCAGACGCAGATCATCACTGATCCGTCTCCCAGCACTGACCGAGGAAAAGCAGGGAGGCGGATCAGAAGTCCCTGCAGCACGTGTCAGGCTGTCAGAGCGATCACAGCTGCAGGGACAGCGCGATCGGGTGCTCCTGGGGTGCCTGGGGTTAACAAGCTTGACGGAAAATGTACGGCTTTGGTTGGGCATGGGTTAAGAAACCCCACACTACTTACAATAAAGACATTTAGGGTACTTCATGGGTTCCTCTGGCTTCTCTATTAATTGATTTTTTTTTTTAAATTACAATGTTGCTTTTAAGCCCATTAGTTATTTACAATTTGCTGTATTCAGACCATTTTAAAAAGCACATTTTTAAGCATTCATTATCCCAAGGGCTCTTATTACATTTCCTTTATTTGTCGTTACAATCCATCTGCCAGACAATAAGGCCCATTTACTTTCTTCTGACCAAACGTGTATAAAGATTGTGCAACATGCAACCATTTCAAGAAGTGACCTTTTCAAATTGCATTTCATTTGTAATTCACAGGTCTGAACAATACATTCGGCATAATTACTGTGTAAAATAAAAGTTCAAGTACATAATAAAAGTTCAAGTACAGCAAACATTTCAAGAGAAGGTATAATGAAAATAAAATATTTCAGGTCTGGTAATTGATTACACTTGGTAGCGTAAATAATTGCCGGTAAATTTACCATGGTTTAAATACGACATCTGTTGCTTTTCATTCTTGTTATATAGATTTTTGTTGGCACTCTTCTTCATTCTTTTTATAAACAAGGATGAATAAATGTATAACTGCGAGAATTCTTTATCCTTTGTATACACATATTACTGGAGGTGTTCTCCATTCTTTAGGGAAAGTTGGTACATGTTACATTTTATGTTTTCTTACTTTTAATATATTTTATATTTTAGACTGTGGACTATTCGTTGTCCTTTCTAAATTAATTGTTCTGTTCCCTACCTTCAGGTCTTGACATATGTTTCAGACCAGGGATGGCTCTAGACTTTGCGAGGCTTTAGGCAAAACTCAAGGATGAGGCCCCCACTAACACCATTAGTAGAGAAAAAATAAGGGTTGGATTGTGTGTGTATAAGGTGCTGTAATTATATTGAAGGACCGTTTTGCAGCCTTGGACACAGAGAGCTAGTTTCTGTAATCATTGTTCAGAGGCTTGCATTGTCGCGGCTCCCTGTGCCCTTTCCGTTGTGAGCTCTCGGACTGTAGTTATGGCATAGTTTGCAATAAACAAATGTAATTTGTAGTTATGCTAATTGTTTATACACAAATGCAGGGTATGGTTTTATAACCTGGCAGTCGTATATACATAAGTGCCAGTGTGAAAAAGTTATTGGAAACAAAAATTTACATTTTGGTTGGGAATTTAAAAAATTTACCAAATAATAAAGTTACAGATAAGAAAACAATGTCAAATACATTTTCCACACATATTCTATAATCCTTTACATGTATGTTTCCCCATGTATTGTATATGTATGTATGTATGCATATAATATTTGTTGCTTGCAACTTTATCTTTGCATTGCCCATACCATACCACCCTCACATTGCAGACAGACACACACACACTAATACAGACTAATACACAAATACATATACACACTGATACATGCACATGCATACACACCAGTGGCGGATCCAGAGCCTGATCTCGGGAGGGGCACTTGTAGATTATTTAAAGAAATAATCCAGACACAATAACTACTACAGCTCAGTGTAGTGGTTATGGTGTCAATGGTGCCGGGACCCCCTCCCACAGTAAGTAGTCAAACCGTTTAATAACAGTTTGACAACTTACCTGAGATCTGCTCGGAAATGGGGCTGTAGTAGGGTATAGGAGCAGTGGTGTGTGTGAGTGGTGCAATGTGTAAGGGGTGCAGTGTGTGTGAAGGTTGTAGTGTGTGAGTGAGGGCGGCAGTGTATGTCAGGGATGCAGTGTATGTGTGTAACAGTTGCAGTGTGTGTGAGTATTGCAGTGTGTGTGTATGGCGGGCAGTATGTGTGTATGGGGGAGCAGTGTGTGTATGTGGGGGCAGTGTGTGTATGTGGGGGCAGTGTGTGTGTATGGGGGCAGTTGTGTGTATGGGGGCAGTTTGTGTGAATGGGGTGCAGTGTGTGTGAATGGGGCAGTTTGTGTGAATGGGGCAGTTTGTGTGTATGGGGAAGTTTGTGTGAATGGGGGCAGTTTGTGTTAATGGGGGCGGTGTGTGTGAATGGGGGGGCAGTTTGTGTGAAGGGGAGCAGTTTGTGTGTATTGGGGGGCAGTTTGTGTGTATTGGGGGGGCAGTATTGGGGGCAATGTATGTATGTGTGATCAGGGTAGGGTGGCTTTTTTTTTTTATTATATAATATTTTTTTATTTAATTAAAATAAATAAATATTCTATGCCCCCCCTCCCTTCTTACCTTTACTGGGGGGAGGGGGGACATTTCCCTGGTGGTCCGGTGGGGGATTCCCTGGTGGTCCAGTGTGGAGAGTGAACTCTAGCCCACGCTCCCGGGCTAGAGTTCACTCTCGCGAGATTTGGAGCGTTGCCGTGGTAACCGCAGCAACGCTCCAAATCTCGCGAGAGGAGGACCCGGAGGAGCTGCAGTTTGAGCTCCCGGGTCCTCCCTCTCCCTCCCCTGCCGGCTGTCAGCACAGTGCCTGCGGACCGGGGAGGGAGATCTCTGATCTCCACTCCGGTCCGCAGGCACATTGCAGGGCTAGCACCTGTTGCCCCCCCTGGATCCGCCACTGATACACACACACAAACACACTGATGCACAGAGACACAAATATTGATGCGTATTTAACAATGTGTATTCATCTGGCTGTGTGTATTTCTGAGTGTGTCTAGCATTGTCTACCTGTGTATGTGCCTGAGAGTGTGTGTCTGACAGTGAGTATCCTTGTATATGAATTTATGCTTCTGTAAGCATGTGTATGTTTGTGTCTGGAACTGTATGTGTGGGGTAGCTAATTGCTGTGTTTTGTGTCTATGTGGGGCTGCTGGGGCCTTTGTGCACTTTGGTTATGTTTTATGACTGTGTGTATGTTTGTCTTCAGGGGTGACTGACATGATGAGTAAAGGGGTAACTGTAGCGTGGTGAGGGTGAAAGAGACAGGGTTGTGACAAAATGAGGTCATTTTGAGTGTGACATGGTTGGAGGAGGGAGTGTTACAGGGTGAGGGGAGATAAGTGTGACAGGATTAAATTGTTAATATGATAGGGTGAACGTGGCATGGTTGGGATGAATGTTACATTGTTGGAGGAGTGAGTGTGATAGGGCAAGGGGAGGTTAATGTGATAGAATTAAAGGGGTTAATTGACAGGGTGAGTGTTGCAGAGTTTGGGATGAGTGTGGCACGGTTGGAGGAGGAAGTGTGACAGGAAAAAGAGTGGTGACCTTGACAGTGAGAGAAAAAGATTAGGGAGGTTAATGTGATAGGGTGAGTGTGGCAGAGCAAGAGGAGGTGAGTGCAGTTTGGTTGGAGTGAGTGAGTGTTACAGGATCAGGAGGGATTAATGTAAGTGTGGCAGGGTGACAGTGTGTGTAGGGGAGGGTGGTGGCAGTGTGGGGGGGTGACATTTGTGTGGAGGTGGTGACTGTGTATGTGTGTGTATGTGAGTGAGTGTGGAGGGGGTGTCAGTGTGTCAAGGGGGGAGATAGTGTGTGTGTGTGGAGTGGATGACAGTATGGAGGGGTTGACAAAGTGTGAAAGGGGTTGCAGAGTGTGGTAGGGGTGACAGGTGGGAGCGGGTGTCAGAGTGAGGATGGGGAGGGCTGACAGGTCGCAGAGTGAGTAAGGGGGTGACAGTGGCAGAGTGAGGGGGTGACCAAGTAAGGGAGGGACGCGGTGACAGATGGTAGAGTGAGAGGGTGACAGTGAGAGAGGAAGTGACAGGGTGACAGAGTGTGGGAGGTAGGGGGTGACAGGTGGCAGGTGGCAGAGTGAGGGAGAGAGGAAGGGGGCAGTTGACAGTGTGAGGGAGGGAGGGGATGACCGATGGCAGAGTGATGGAGGGAAAGGGTGACTTGTTCCAGTGTGAGGGACTGAGGGGGTGACTGGTGGCAGTGAGAGGGAGGGGGTGACTGGTGGCAGTGAGAGGGAGGGGGTGACTGGTGACAGTGTGAGGGAGGGGTGTTAAAAGTACATTTTATTTTCCTGGTGGTCCAGTGTCCTTGTTCTCTGGTGGTCCGGTGGGACATTTTATTATGACAGAACACAACTTTATAATTAACAACATATTGCTACAATTTACACACACCATTAACACACTGACACATGCATACACCTTGACACACAGATACAGACACTGACACACACTTAGATACACACACACGCACACACTGGCACATTCATACAGATACACACACAGACATACAAATACACACACTGGCACTTACAAACAGATACACTGACACAAACACACAGATACACACTGACATGCACTGACATACAGATACACACACTGACACGTAAACAAACTGGCACACTGAAGCACACACTGATACACAAGTATAATCACTGACACACAGATACATACACAGACACACACACTTAATTAATGTTATAAACACACAGCTCACTCCAGCCTCTCCTCTGCCTCCATGCTGCCTGTCTGTGCCACCGCCTTTTCCTCCTACTCCTCCCTCCCAGCAATGGTCTGTGAAGCTGGGAGAAAGTGATCGGCTGTCAATTCATCCCAGCTGACCAAAACTACAGGGGCTCGGTCACGCTCTTAAAGTGCCTGTTCAAAGATAATCCCGGGAGACTTGGGATGTTTATTAGTCTCTTACCTAAGTATTCACTTCCTTTAATTATTCCACTTTTTGTAGTGATACAAACTGGAATTAATTTTATTTTATGGCATTTGTTTTTACAATCACACATAACACTTTGAAGTTGAAAACATTTTTTTTCACACAAAACTTAAATGGATACTATAGTGTATACAAAGTTGTATCCCTAGCACTTCTGCCCCTCTCTCTCCTCGCGGTCCCCCACCATGCACTGTAAGGGTTAAAAAACATTACTGTATTCACCTGATTCCCGCGTCGATCTCCCTCAGCGCTGGGTCTGCGCTCAACCTCTTCAGATGAGCATGACAAACACATTAGGGCCTCCCGATAGGAAAGCATTTCTTACGGGGATTTTACTGACACTGAACCAAATGTTGCCTAGCAAGCAGGAAGTGCCTCTAGTGGCTGTCTGATTGACAGCCACTAAAGGCAGTCTTAGTCCTGCAATACAATTATGATTATCAGAGTGAAGCCCTTCAGGTGACCCTTGGGGCTCTAGCATGGAAAGCTTCTTTCCCACAAGCAAGAGGTCCAATAGGCTCTGTTACTCCTGTCCTCAATAATAATTAGTTTGCCAGTGCCTGTCAGTAAAAAGCATTCCCTGTCAGACAATTTCTCCCATATAAGCTGCAGATCTATCTGGACTTTTTTATTTCAATGTTCTGGGGCATGTTCAAAGTTTGGGATATTTTTTACAACTCAGGCTAAACTTGTGTTTCTCATTCTGGACTTGTTTTTCATCCTGCTGTTTGTTTTGATGTGATTGCTAACAAACAATCCTTCCATAAACAATTGTATTATTTATTGTGAGATCATGTGACACCTTAATTACACTTTGGTAGACTCCATTCAAATATTTAAGATAAGGAAATTGCCTGCATCGGTTGTATTCAATGTGCATTTTATCAGTTTCATAGCAACATGTGCGGGAATGCAAACAACACATTTTGTTTTTGGAAGGGGCTTGTTTAACAGATTTTTGTGTCACAATAAAGGCATATTTACCATCATTGAGATGTTAGTTATGGTGTGAAAATAAAATGGCAAATATATCAATAAATGTTTTTTTTGTTTGTTTTTGTTTATTCTTTATTTTTGCAGTGCACAGTTAGGCATACAGGCAAGCATGAACATTGAAAATATTAACTGCAATAGAAAGCACAGAGGTATGATATACAATGTCAAGAAACTTTGCACAGTTTTTTTGTGTTTTTGTGAAGACATAGTAAATCAGTGACTGTCACATGGTAGACCAATCTGGTAATATCTAAACTGAATCTGGAGACAACACATATAGTAACACGAGAGTAAATTCCCTCCAGGGCGCATATGCTTGGGGATACATACAACAAACTGCTCATTTTGAGAATAAGAGAACAAGAATAGATTAATGCATAAAAGTGAGGGTCATGCATAAAATTAGGTGGATTGGATCACATGCATTGAGTCAACAAGAGGTTTTTGTAACAAGTTAAATGAGCAGATTACATCTACTAGTAAAAGACACTGGGGCCCCTCACAGCAGGTACCAAGCACTTCTTGGGTCATGCCTAGTGTATATATACACGCTGAGCAAGGGGTCTCTTCAGAGCCCCCCTCTTACTCCTGACTTGGCTAAGCTTATTAGTGATGCATTACCAGCATAGCAGATAACCCGGCCTGTTTTGTTTGACCAGTCCCAGATCACAGCACAGGCTCCGTTTGTTGCGCATGTGTTCTAGAGGGATCAGGAGCCATTGACAGAATTTTTGGAAGAGTAGCTCCCCCAGGGTGTCTGGCAATGATGTAGGTTTTGTCTCTTCAAGGCTCGAGTCCCATGTGCGTGGATGCTTGTACTTTAATACTGGGAAGTATTTGTGGGTAGCCAAGGGTCCTTCTCCATCTGGTGAAATAACAAAGTTGTAGTGGTGGGGGGCCTCTTTGTCCCCAGGGAGACGGCGTGTGGCTAGTCAGTACGGACAATGTCTTTCAGGCCTGGGTGGCAGCCATTTTAACTTCCAAGCATAGGGTTTGCGTGCAGGGTTGGTTGAATGTTTCCTCCCCGCTGCTTAGGATGCCCCAGTGAGGACTGGGATAACCCCCACTGGTCCAAAGGGGGGGGGGGATGAGGCCAGCAAAAGCCAGTATGTGGCCACCCCGCTCTTTCTTCCGAGAAGGCCGCAGACTCCAAAGTTTCCTGTCGCCATTATGGGCTTTGAAAACTCCCAATCTCGGGGTCCACTGCAGCCCTGCAGCCACTGGTCCATTCTGTTGTGATGTGTGGGCCCAAAATTGTCGTATGAGCCGCAAATCTCAGCTTAGAAGGCTGAGTCCCTCAGGAGCCTCTCCTGCATGTGACTGGTCAGCATGGCGGCCTGGCCCCACCTCCAATAAATGTTATTTTTATGCCTTAACAAATTTATGGCTATTCCCTAAAGTGAAATATCACATTTAAAATTTGAGGTCAAATAGCCAAAATGGAAATGAAATGGCATCTCAGCTATGTTTTCAGTTCTGCTGCTCTGAATTTAAATTTGGATTCTTTTATTAGTGGATAACAATTAATAGAGACATTTTATTATTAATATTATTATGATTGTCCCTTTAGTTTAACAGAGAGACCTCCAAGTGGAAGAAGTGCAGTGATAGAGACACACCGGGAATAGGACACTATAATATTTCCTGTTTATCTCTGAACTGCTTTCGCTTCTCATGAAGGAGCCTGCGAGCTAGCAGGGTCAGGATTAAGTAATGCCAATTGTTATTTTTATTCAATACAATTTATTTTATACAATTTGTTTTATACATAATACATGTATATTAATATTTGTGCATAACTTTCATACAAATCGTACTTATAGTATAGATTCATGTAAATACTAATATAATACATATATATTATTGTATATGCATTATACCATCAAATATCCTGTAAACATAGTGAAATCTTCACACTGACCCATATACACATTGACACCAACAGAGACACACATAAAGTGACCCATACACACACTGACACACTCTGACCCATACACATTGACAAAAACACAAACACACACACTGGTCCATACACACATACACTGAAACATATTGACCCATCTACACATTAACACATTCAATGTGTTAACACACACATGAACTCATAACACACACTGACCCATAAACAAACACAGACACACTCACATACATATACTGACCCATAAACACAGACACACTCACAAACATGCACTGACCCATAAACACAGACACACTGACACATATATACGCTGACCCACAAAAACAGACACAGACACACATACACTGACTCATAAACAAATACAGACACCGACACATATACACTGACCCATAAACAAACACAGACACACTGACCCATTAACAAATACAGACACTGACACATATACACTGGCCTATAAACACAGACACATCGACACATACACTGGTCTACTCTGTTGCAATGTTTGGGCCCAAAATTGTCGTATGAGCTGCAAATGTCAGCTTAAAAGGCTGAGTCCCTCAGGACCCTCTCCTGCATGCGACCGGTCAGCATGGTGGCCCGGCCCTGCCCCCCAATAAATATTATTTTCATGCCTTAACACATGTATGGCTATTCCCTAAAGTAAAATATAACATTTTAAATTTAAGGTGCTTCCTAATATTTTACTGGGTCATCATTAGCTCTGCAGGTCTGGAGCTAGGTGAGAGCTATCACTAGGCTTCTCTTCTGCTTGCACTGACTGCCGGCCGCCGAGAAATGACATCACTCAGTATCCAGGCGGCTTGCTGGATGTCTGTTCATTGCGAGGAGCGACTAAACCCAGCAATTTAAAAGAAAAAAAGAAAAAACAAAACTTTTACAGCTGTTGCGGCCCCTGGCCAGCCAAAGCTTAATTTCCCGGTCTCCTAGTGGGCCAGTCCGTGCAATCGACTAATATTGGCACCATTGGTAAATATGAGCAAAGTAGGATGTAACACATTGTCTTTATTGTTTAACCTTTTAAAATGTTGTTGTAAAAATAGATAAAAATGCTCTGTTCTCATGGATATCAAACAATCACATGCACAACACAGGTTTACCTTCCAAATAAATATGTCAGAAATATAAAACATATGTGGTACAATTACTAGCACCCTTTTAGTCATATGTGCTACTTCCCATAACAGCTTTGAGTCTTCTTCTGTAATGCCTGATGAGGTTTGAAAATACATGGCAAGGGATCTAAACCAATCCCTCCATACAGAATCTCTCCAGATCCTTCAAATTTTTGTTGTCACTGGTGGACTCTCCTCTTCAGTTAACCCACAGATTTTCTATGGGTTTCAAGTCAGGATACTGGGGTGGCCTTGATTTCATGGTCAGTAAACCATTTTTGTGTTGATTTTGATGTCTATTGTTGATATTTGATAGTCTATGATGTCATGTATTCTCACAAAATGTCCTCTGGCAGAAAAACAGCCCCAAAATATTAAAGAGCCACCAGCATATTTAACTGTGGGCAGGAGGCACTTTTCCATACGGCTACCTCTCTGTGTGGCTAAACCCACCTCTGGTGTTTATTGGCAAAAAGTTCTATTTAAGTTTTATCTGACCATAGAACTAAATCCCTTTTGAAATTCCACTGTCGGGCAAACTGAAGACCCTTTATTATTGGATGAGAGTAGAGGCCTTTTGTGTTTGCAGTTTGATATCCATTACAGCAAAGTATATATGTATATTTTTTTAAACAAAAGGTTAAAAGGTTAAAAACAAAGACCATTTTCACAGCCATCTTTGCTCATATTTACAAAGGGTGCCAGTATTAGTTGAGGGTACTCTATATCATCAGACATTGCCTAAGCCTACCACAATGCCAAAGTATCCCATTTTTGGCAGGTCCTATTCCGGGAACCTAATGCCTGCTCTTATAAAATTAATTCACTTACTTGGGAAATTCATCCTCCAGGGATGCTTTGGAGTGCAAGGTTAACTAGGCACTTTGAATAAGCCATGAGAGTTGGAATGGATATATAGGCTGCACTCACCTATACACGCCTATTATAGGGGTTATCTAATATACCCATGGGAATATGATTACATTATGTCTGCAGCACATTAATAATAGGGTTCTAGACTCTAATCTTAACTGATCCTTTAAAGTTGTAGGATAGCAACTCCTATTAACCCCTGAGCCAAATAACAAAAGGAAGAATTGAATCACAGTATGTTCACCTTTCCACAGTTTTGAAGGATTTGATTACATCCTTGGAATGATACCAGAGAAAGTAGACCTGCAATAAAAGAAACCAGATATTAGTAAAACTTCGAGAATATTGTCCAAAGGTGACAAGCAGTCCAAATATAAGCCTTGATTTAAATGATACAGATGATTCAATACAGTAAGAAACATTTTCCAAATTGTTTGTCAAAAATTCCCATAGACTTTAATAGTGACTCCTGTGGATATATAATTTGTAAAGTTTTTCTAACAGTTTTGAATCATTTAGAAAACATATTACATTTCGATCATAATACTTGAACTAAATGCTTTCTGCGCAGCCCTCTTGAAAAGCAATTTGATTGTGTTTTATTAAAATACAAACATGTATTCCTGATACTATAGTTCTAAAACAGCTGTTTAGTCCCCAGCCCCTCTTTCCTTTGTTTAACCCCTTAAGGACCAAACTTCTGGAATAAAAGGGAATCATGACATGTCACACATGTCATGTGTCCTTAAGGGGTTAAAAAGGTGTTCAACTCGCCTTTTTTCCAGCGCCATGCAGATCTCCTCATGGCCTACTAGCCCTGCCCCTGCTCCGCCACCTTGGCTAAGATCTGCAAATTTTATTATCTCAGCCAATCCAATGCTTTCCCATGAAAGGCTATTACTGCACCAATCAGCATTTCCTCACAGAGATGCATTTAATCAATGCATAACTATGAGGAATGCTAAGCATCTCCATACAGAGCATAGGGAAGCTGAACGTCAGTGCTGCACATTGTGCAACACTGACACAGGAAGCACCTCTAGTACATAAGCAAACCATTTTAGAACAGTACGATTTACCAACGTTCTGATAAAGAAAAGGAGTGGAGAACTTGGCCTGAGAGTAAAGTCCAAGTTCTCCCTCCTCTGCATCAAGGGCTGATTGTGGTGATTGCTTGGTGGCTTCGGGGACAGGGAGGCAGCACAGCACTGGTCAGGGAGACCTTTTGATCTCCCGGCTAGTTTGCTCAGCAGCAGGCGCTCCGGCTGCAAGCACAACACAGACATAGAACACACCTATGCCGCGGTGCCACCAGTGAACTGACCCCCTAGGCCACCTCCTTAGTGGCCTAATCAAAGCACTGGGTAGACATTTTGTCTTAAAGCCTATCTGACCTCCCTAAAGAAGTATTCACCAACTCCACCTAATACAATTTGTACTAGAATGGTCTTCATTAACTTTTTATGCTTTGTTACTCTACAGATACCTTACACAGTACTTGTTACACAATCATTTTTATACTTATTTTTTTTTTAGATCCATATTTATTACATGCCCCTATCACTCTATTACTGTATCAATGCCTTTAAACGACATGTAATTAAATCATCACTTCCTCTAGATTTCAAGCTTGCTTAAGCAAGACCCTCATTATCTCCTGTATCTGTTCACCTAAATAATAATAATTATGACACAGTTTCGCAATATGGTGGCTTCCTGGATCTCAAAGTAGCCATCGCATTGGTTGAGGCATAGCTCTGTCAGCACTGATTGCAAGGAGCATGACATTTTGTACGTCTGTCTTCTTTAAGAAAGCAGGCAACAAAAGGTTCGACAAAGTCCCTTATCACATATCTAAAGTTCATCTCTGCACACCTCCGTAACCTCATTCTGTTACTCTATGTTCCGAACTGCATGATGTAAGACATTTTCATTTGTGTATGTTTACATTTAATAACAGACTAGTTTGCACAGTGAAATGCAATTAACCATAATATCTGCACTGTAAAAATAAAGGTGCACCAAATATTACATTTTGCCTTAAAGAAAACAAAGATTCTGAAATTAATTTTCTTTCACATGCAACATTCTCTAATCCCAGCCTAGTATTTTACACTCTTGATAACCAGTCTTTCTTTTCCCCCCAAACTTAACATCATATATATATATTTAATCCTTATCATTTATAATTTTACACCTCCATAAATATACTCATTAAAAAAATTTAACTTGTGAACACCTTTTTTTTAACATTTAATACACAAAAAATAGGTAGAGCACACAATACGTCTTTTAGATCTGATGTTAGAGTTTACAAGAAACAAAAAATGGAGAGACAATAGTGCGGATGGTACAACTGGTTTTGAGATGTAGCATACAGGTAATATTTACACTCACAAAGGCAGAGACAGTTTAAGCACTTGGCAGCAATTAGCATAATTAAAAAGGACAATCCCAATCCCTCTTTCCAATCCCAATCAAAGTGTATATCTCAAGAGTAGATTCTACAAGAATATGAAAGTCTACATAATATAAACTTGTGTATCTGTATAAGTAATATAATTGCAAAATTGGATACACTCACATGGTGATGAGGCTGGTGACGTTGGCTCAACACTATAGTAACTGATCTAATTCAAATAGGGTAAAATTGTCTAAAGAAGGTGTATTAAAAAACAATTAAAACAATAGAGTACTGTTGTACAAAAAAATGCATTTTGGCATTATGGCTTCCTCAGTTGGAATTTCGTATTTACTCGAATTTAATGCGCACCTTTTTTGGAAAATAAAGTTTCCAAAATTTTTATGCGCATTAGTTTTGATGAAGCAGTATTCCAGCTGAGGATGCAGTAAAAATCCACCAAAAAGGACGTTAATTTGCCTCCACCTTAGATTTAAAAGTTGTTTTTGAATGTTCTCATCAATTGAAATCATTTTAAAAGAAAATGATGTTTAAGGAAATGTTTCCATCATAGGACAGAGGGATTAACAACAAGGGAGCAAAGGGAATTTATCCATACAGATCAGATTTTTTTCAGATAGGCATGATTTTGAATTAAATTAAACATTTAAAAGCATGGTAATGAAAAACAAAAAAGATGCCAAAAAATAAATAAATTACATCAGAACCTATCCCAGAATGAAAAAAGGCTCTAAAAGAATTACAAAACAATAATATTATAATAAAGTCTAGTTATTATAGAGAAGTGGTTGTTTTATCAACTAAAAGTACTTAAAAGAACACTACATGCAATAAACTTGTCTAGTCATTCAAGAAGATGGCTGCATAAACTAACTGCTCCTCGTGGCACCCACAATAAACACCTGAATACCGCTCACCTCGCCAAGCCCATTGCCAAAAATGGGTTGAGCAAAGAGGCAGACTGAAGTCACCAGTACGCCAAGACCATCGGGGTCTGGTGGACAGCTGTGCATCCGCTCCTTCCTCACTGAGCCCCGGGACTCCGCATCGCAGCAGGGGGTTCTCGTCGACACCCTCCCATTCATCGGAGGCACCAATAAAACACTTGAAGGGAAACTGCGGGCCATACTCCCCAGCCTACATCATCATACCACCCCATATGTCATGCACTCTCGGACACACTGTTTATGGAAATGGGGAGAAAGACTCTACAGGTTTACTTCACCAACAACGAGACGGGAGATACTACTCCTCTGATGTGCTGGGAGGCCCACAAAGCGGTAATCTGCGGACACTTCATTGCTAACTGCTCAAAGCGCGAGAAGGAATCGAAGCAGGCAATCCTGGACCTCAGAGGGGAAATAGTGGCCCTAGAGTCTCAGCACAAGCGCACATTGGACAAAAAAGAAAGATATACCAGGAACTCCTGCTTAAACAAAGCCAACTCTCTACACGCCTGAATCGCTCGATCCCAATGCTCATTCCAACATTTTCAACATATGAATTACGAGCATGGGAACAAATGCGGAAGACTACTTGCGAACCACCTAAAACAAGGCAGGACCTAACTATACATCCTAAAAATTAAGGACTCAAGGCAACAAATCCAACAATTCCCTGACCAAATTTCAGCAGCATTCCTCCAGTACTACCAGGAGACATGCTGAGACATGCAGGGAGCAGTTGACCCCCACAGACAAGAAGAACTACGGAGATACCTCAACTCACCTGATATGATCAGACTCGAGAACCAGGACTTACAGGCCATGGAGGCCCCCATTACATCTGAGAAACTGGCGCTGTCTATAAAAAAAGGCAAACACTGGCAAATCGCCAGGTCTGGATCGCCTTCCCCTCCTGTATCATAAGACCTTCCGGCAGGACCTCCTTCTGAAATTGCAAGCAGCCCTGAACTCTGTTCTGGTAGGAGCTACACTTTAAGCCCAATTTACGTCCGCGAATATCACGCTCCTCCCGAACGACGACAAAGAGCCAACACTGTGCCAAAGCTACCACCAGATCTCCGTACTGGATGTCAACCTCAAATTGCTGGCCAGTGTCCTGGCATCCTGTATCGCACCAGTACTACCTGCAACCGTGAACCCAAGCATGTGAGCCTAGTGAAGTCTTTATCCCAGGTTGAGAATCCGAGACAATACCATGCAGGCCCTGAACCTGATCTCGTAAGCCAAGCGGCTGGGATCTGATGTTCGGGGTGCTTCAGAGCCTGGGAGTCAGACCAAAATTCCTCTCATGGGTCGAGACACTATACTAGTGTCCCACCACTCACATTCGGATAAACAGGACTATCTCTGACCAATTCCGGATCCACACGACATGACAGGGCCTCCCACTGTCACCCCTGCTTTTTGCATTGACACTTCAGCCCATTCTCAACAAGGTCACGTAACGAAAACATCAATGGAGTGCAAATAGGGTGAACACACCACAAAGTCAGTCAGAGATCGAAACCTATGGTCGAGTCTCAAACCTTCAAATAAACTACTCAAAATCCGAGATTCTGGGCCTCAACATCAGCCCCACGCTCAAACAAACCGTTCAACACCAATTCCGCTGGTGTGACACACGCATGCGGTACCTAGGAGTTCGGCTCACACCTGACCCGACAGACCGCTATACCCACAACTACCTGCCTATTTTTAAGGCTGTTATGGAGGAATTGCACGCCTGGAACTCATACTACATTTCATGGTTGGGACGAGTGAATGCAGTCAAGATGACACTACTACCCAAAATTCTCTTCATTTTCCAAACGGTGCCCATCTCAGCCCCAAAATAATTCTTCAATACGCTGAAGGCAAATTTATATGGAAGGCCAGATCCCCTCGCATAGCGAACTCCCAACTGACGCTACCCAAACTTTGAGGAGGACTTGTGCTACCTGACGTAGAGAAATATTTTGTGGCTGCCCACTTCCTAGGGTCATCAGCTGGTCAACAACAGTGAGTGACAAGCCATGGATACAACTGGAGTCGGTTAGCACCGACTGCAATTTACGGACCTTACCATGGATCACTAAAGAGGCCTGCAAACACATACCGCTCACTAATCCATTCATCAACCCTGCGGATCTGGCATAGATACGGCATGAAGCATTATCTCACGACAGACCCGGCCCTCTGCTCCCATTAAGAGGCAACCCAGACTTCCCGGCGGGAGACCAAGGACCTCTCCCACGTTTGACAAAACATATACCAATACTCCACATGGCAGGCATCCTTTAGACACTGTTTGCCACCCGTTCACTCACCAAACTCTTCCCAGAAAAGCCACACACATTCCTACATACACTGGCGAGAGAACAAATAACACAATACGCCTAGTCGATCCCGCAGAAACCCTGCCTCCTCAGAGACCAAACACAATTTAAAGCACTCTGCGCGCAAGCCGAGGAACCACTGCAAGCCATATCCTTGATCTACTCGAACCTGGTTATGGGCAGATATCAACTAGCACCCCCATGCATCAGACAATTTGAGGAGGACTTCGAGGAGACACTAACTAAGGTGGACTGGAATAAGATCATAACCCATGTACAAAAGACGCCAGGGTCGGCACAACTACATGAAAACTCTTACAAGGTCCTCACACAATGGTCCCTCACCCCCGCAGCACTCCACACCAGGGATCCTATAATACTTGATGCCTGCTGGCGATGTGGAGAGGCTACAGGCACGTTCACTCATGTGTGGTGGGACTGTGCCCTCATCAAGCCATTCTGGGAGTCAATCGGCGGGGTAATACTGGAGGTGATGGATGAAACTCTACTACTGTCCCCAGCCCCATTCCTCTTACAACATACCACTATGCCGACTCCAGCATACAAACAGTCGGTGATCCTGAGGCTCCTCAATGCTGCCAAGGCAATTGCCCCCCTCTTCTAGAGACAGCCGCACATGTCTCCCCTCAAGTGCTGGGTGGAGGAGGTTAAGGACACGAGGAAATTTGAAGACCTGAAAGTAACTACACTGAAAGATAGGGACAAATACACACAGCGATGGTTTCACTGGCTACGCCACATTTCCTTGGCTGCCTTCATACAACATCTGACCAACCTGACCGAACAAAGTCCGAAATTGCGTCCTAACACGAATGGAGAAACTGTTCTCATTCTGTTAGGACGGAATTCAGTAGTTTCGCCGGCGTTCTGTCTAAGTGGCAGAACGTTCAGGAATACTGACAGGAAGCATCACAAGATCACTGATCAAAGGTGAGAATTGTGGGAAAATTGCTCTGACCTCCGAAAATGAAGCACACTTTGCTCCTCCACTGGTCATAGCTGGTCAGGCATAGGAAACCTTCATAAGACAAAGTAGTCCCTACTTTGTCTTATGTTTTAAAGAAAACTAGAGCAGACAGGAAAAAATGAAGAGCAGATTCTGACAGAGGGAGAGAAGAGGAATTGATTAAAGAAAGGTAATTTCGGAATGACAGTGCCGCTTTAAATGAAAATTATAATTTAATTTAAGTGGTAAACCCTTTCTTTATGCTCCTCTCTTGGTTGGCATTCAGTGTCTAAACCTCTACATCCTTAGCTACAGTTCTTGATAAATGTGTCGCTGGCCCAGGTCAACCTCTTAAAATACCCCTGCCTTGAGATCACTTAGTAGATCTCAGCTCTTGACATTATGGGGAATTATGTCAAGGGATACATTAAGAGGGGGTTGGAGGCCCCTCCTTTTTTAAGTGAGAATGTATGTGGTTTTTCCCTTTTTTTTTTTTTTTTTAGGGGAACTTTTGTGTTGTGTAGAAGTTTTTTGTGTTGATCCTGTGAGGAAAGCAGAGAATGGGGTAAGGAGTAAATGAGAGATAAAATTCTGAAGTGCATCTCTATGAATATACAGGCTTTGAATACCCCCACTTAAAAGGAAAGTTCTATATGAATTACTCAGAATGGAACAAATAGATATAGCCATGATACAAGAGACTCATTGGAAAAGGGAAGAGAAAATTAGATGGAGATATGAGTTGTCTGAAGAAGTTATACAGGCATCGCTTGAAAGAAAAAAAAAAAGAGAGGAGTTGCTATTATCTTCTCAAAATGGCTTAATAAAGAGATAAGAAGGAAGATATCAAATCCTAGTTTGTAAGATAGACTCTGTTAAATACACTTTTGTAAACCTCTATCTGCCAAATGTATTACCAACAAAGTATCTAAAAAAGATAATGGATGAAGTAGAAAAAGTAAAAATGGGAATGTTACTTATTACAGGGGACTGTAATTGTGTCCCGGATACAGTATTACATTAAAAAAAAAAAAAAACTAAAGATTATAGAAAAATAAGTAACCAATTAAAGAAGCAATCTAACATTCTATGAAATTTTATAAAAGAAAATAACTTGAATACATGGCGAGTCTATCATGTAAAAGAAAACGGATTTACACCGCATTCTTGAGAACACCATTCATTATCTAGAATTGATCTGGTTTTGGGAGAGAATAGTTTAGTAGAACAAATCCAGAAAATTATAATAAAGGAGAATCAATGGGTGGATCATGGCTATAATTTGTTCGATATAAAAGATTAAAAAAATATATATAAACCTTTTAATACTTGGCGTCTGGATGAAGAAATATATATAGATTATAGGTTATATAAAAATAATAAAAAAACATTTTAACTAGTGAAACGATAAAACAATTAAAGGATCTTAAAGATAAAATTAACTAAATAGAAATGGAACAAATTAATACAAATTTTGAGAAAATTAATATGAATTTTTACCATAACAACAAAATAACGAAATGGTTAACTAATAAGTTTTAAATGAAAGCAGGGAAAAAAAAGGATAACATGTATCAAAAAAGATCAGACAATATACAGAAACCCAGAAACTATAGCAAAAAAATTTCAAACTTATTATGAAGAGCTATATAATATACTAAAACAACCTGAGGGACATCAAATATTGAAAGGACATAGAATTCCTAAAATAACACAGGAACCAAACATCATGAATGTTCCTTTTACTAAAGCAGAATTTAAACATTGAAAAATTAGAACATTTTAAAACCCCTGGCCCAGATGGTCTGACTAATAGATTTTAAAAGCTTTATAAGGATATAATATCAGAACATCTAGTAAATGCTTTTAACCCCTTAAGGACCATGCTTCTGGAATAAAAGGGAATCATGACATGTCACGTGTCCTTAAGGGGTTAATGAGAGTGTGGAAAAGGGTTCCGGGCCAAAAGAAATGTTATATGCTAATTTATTACCAATCTTAAAGGATAAGGACCCTCAAGAACTTAAGAATTACCGTCCGATCTTCCTAATAAATGTAGATTTTAAGCTGATTTCGTCAGACAGGATAAAAATACTTCTCCCTAGCCTGGTACATGAAGACCAGATTGGTTTGGTCCCACTAGACAGGCAAGCACTAATTCAAGACGTCTGATTAATATATTGTATTGAGGAGAGAGATCGGGGAATCCCATTCTGACCATGTCATTGGATGCAGAAAAAGCCTTTGACAGGGTTGGATGGGGATATATATTCGGGGTGCTTGAGTCTATGGGTTTTGGTGGCTGGATGAGAGCAGTAATTAAAACTATATATCAAGAACCAATGGCTAGGGTGATGGGAATAGATCTATGTTCCAATTGTTTTTTGTTAGGTAATGGCACCCGCCAAGGTTGCCCTCTTTCACCAATTCTATATATACTATCTATAGCGTCTCTAGCAATAAGAAATAGGACAAATCCTGGTATTAAGGGCATTCCAACAGCCTCTAAAGAACTGAAGTTGTGTATATATGCTGACAACACTATAATGACCCTGACTGATCCAATTGTTTCTGTTGCTCATTTGATGGATGAGAATGCAATATATATTTAGGTACAATGCTATTGGATAAAACAAATAGAATAGGAGAAGATCATTTCTGGAAACTGATTAGATTAACAAATCGAACTCTAAAAAAAATGAATACTTTGCTATTAAGTTGGCTAGGAAAAATGAATATCATCAATGCTTACATAATTCCCAAGCGGACCTATATTTTTAAAAATGATTCCACTAAAGATACTTGACAGCTGGCTAGAGCTTATACAGAGAAGTTTTAGAAACTTTATATGGAGAGGGAAAAGACCCTGCATTAATTTAGAACAGTTGACTAATAGCCTGGGACACTTTTCCCTCACCTGGTGCTCAGCGGCCAGAAGCTTTCAGTCCTGACTGTCTCAACATACAGTCTGGCACCGGCCGTTGCACATTCAGTGGCAGAAATAACCCTGTGAGTGCGAGCACTGCACACCCACATTTTGGAGCCAAAATACGGGGCTGACCAATGGGAAAGGGAGGGTGGATATAAAAACCTAGTCTGATTCCACTCAGTGCCCTGTCGTGGTCTCCAATGTGGTTGTCCGAGAGCGCGTTCCTGTTTACAGTTTTCTACTGGTTTTTGACTTTGGCTTTGCTTATTGACTTCTCTGTATTCTGGTATCCTGACTCCTGGCTTTCCTCATCGTTGCGTACCTTTCTGTGTTCCCTGACCTCGGCTAGTATTTTGACTATTCTATGTACTTTAAATCCGGCCATTCTAAGGACCGGTAATACGTTACTTATTTGTCATTCAGGCTATACATTTCTACGTGCTGGATCATACAGTAATCCTGATACTGGGGCATGGTGGTGTGAATTTCCCCAATATCAAAAACCATTACGAAGCCAGTATAATCCTACATATTCAAATAACACCTAAAAAGGAACAGGATGGTTTATCTTGGAAACTCAGTCATTGAATAAGATTGAGCTAAATAAACTTGTTCGGCAGAGTAAAGGATATCTGGTATTGAAAAAAAAAATTAAAATACAATTTTAACCCACATTTTTCCAGTATGGTTTAAATTAAGACAAAATATGAAAAATACTGGAAAGATATATGGATTTATGGAGTTGGAGATACTGGAATTTCTAACAGATGATTTAAACCTAGATCTGTGGAAATAAAATAAAATCAAAGACGTAAATAATATAAGGAAGGAGTGAAGAAAGAAAATGTTTGCATCGTTAGTCCTAGAATATAATTTACCAGAATCTGAAATATTTAATTACTTAAGAGTTAAATCACTGGTCTCAAGAAATTTAGATGAGGGGAAAAGTAAAAACTCCATATATATTAAAACAATTTTGAAATAAGAAAAACTGCAAAGCTTTTATCAAAATGTTACATGTTGATCGGATCAATGTCTCAAATTATTCTGCCAAAACCGTTTTGAAAATGGGAAACTGAGTGTAATATTAATATTGACATTTGTGTATGGGGTGAAATACTAGTTAAAACAAATAATAATAATAATAATACTAATAATATAAATCTGATTGAAACGTTTTATAAAGTATATAATAGGTTGTATTTAGTGCCAGCATAAAATGGATCCTAGTGTTTCAAATTTGTGTTGGAGATGTATGAAGGTAGTTGGTAGTTATCTACACAAATGGTGAAGTTGTTCAAAAATCTAAAAATTATGGGATCAGGTTTATAAAACTTTATATGATTGTGTTAAGATTAAAATTAATGAAACTCAGATGAGAGCAATACTACACTTGGGTTGGCCGGAATTAACATTCCAATATTATCTGAGCACACATAGCTTTTTGGCCGTGAAGATTATTTTTAGCAAGAAACTGGAAACAACCCTTAGAAATGAGCTATTGTCAGTGGGTAAAACAACTGACGTTACAATTATAGATGGAATTGGGCATATGCTGGAGAAATAATACCTCAGTCAGGAATAAACTGTCAAGAGAAAATGTTTGGACCTAGTATTAACATTTACGTAAAGTCTGAGTAAAATATGCACTGTAGATGTTTTAAATACAAGGTATTTAAAGATTAGATAAGTACATCCTTGTCCTAGCTCAGTCGTTTTTTTCCTCACAGGTAGAATGTAATATGTATTATTATTGACAATTATTTTGTTTGTTTACTGTTTTGTATTGTCTTTTATATGATGGAAAAAATTTGAATAAAGACTATTTAAAATACATTTTCTATTTTTAAAAAAAAATCTATTTTCTATGCTTTTTTTCATTTGTGTGTCTGTGCAGTGTGTGTGAAGGGTGCAGTGCATGTGAGGGGTGCTGTGCATGTGTGAGGGGGCAGTCTGAGTGTGTGTGTGAGGGCTGTAGTGTGTGTGTGAGAGGGGCAGTCTGTGTGTGTGTGAGAGGTGTAGTGTGTGTTTGTGTGTGAGGGGGGCAAGGGTCTATGCTGTGTGTAGGTGGGTGAGATGTAAAAATCTATCTTAATGTCTCCCCCTTCCTTCTTTCCTTTTATGAGGGAGAGGGGACATAAAGCTGCAAGCCGTGAAGGTCCAGTGGTGGCATGTTCACTTAAGTCTGCAGCTCCTCCGGCTGCAGCGTGACTCTCCTGTCCTGCAAGTACAGCACTGTATTGGAGTGTTGTCATAATAACACGCAGCAACACTCCAACCAGCCTGCTCGCAAGAGGAACACAGAACCTCCTAGGCTCTTTCCTCCCTCTGCTGCAACTAAGTGCCAGTAGGCTGGTAAGGGAGATTTTTGATCTCATCACCAGCCCGAGAGGGCTTACAGCAAGGCTGGCTCGGCATGAAAGGATCTCCCCTGCCTGCATTGGTCCATGGTCATAGTCTGCCATGGTTCTATTTCCCTGTTTTATTCTCATTAGCGACTTAGCCACACTCTCCCAGGTGTATCAAACACCTTACAGAAGTCCTTTACAAAGGTCTGGTAATCATAGAACAAAGCCTTGTTTGCCTCTCATTTTGGATTAGCCTATTTCAAAGCCTTGTCTGTTAGTTGGTGAATAAAAAAATCCTACGTTAGACTTTTCTACAGGAAATGATCTGGGGGATGTTTCAAAATTAAACTTAATTTGGTTCATAAACCCTTGACAGGTTTTAAGATTGCTGCCATATTAAGATGGTGGTGTCAAGCTTGTGGTTATAGTGTTCTGACCAGATGCCTCTATCACCAGCTGTATAGTCTGGGGAGACATAGGTGAAGGATTGTCAGGAGAGAGGTGGGCAGTTCTGGCAAACAAGGTCTGGAAAGCTTAATCAAACTGATCCATCTTATGAGCTATCTCCTCAAACATTGCCTCACGAGTAGTCTGTCGATCTCCCATTCTTGCAGAGTCCATGGCCCTATTGTAAAGTCACAGTTGCTGTTACCCTTACAGGCAGGAAAATAATACCCACAAAGTGAGGGTCCAAAAGCCATATTCCTGGGCCTTAGAGGTTCACATCATCTCTGTGACACCAAACCATATGGAGCTGCCTAGATGACGTGGTCCCTTTGAGGGCGTGATGTCATCATTTTCAAATTTATTTAAGGAGGCGCTCTTAGAGCATGCAACGTCCTAACTTCTTTGTAAGGGTCTGCAGTTCAGCCCACGAACCAGCAGAGGGAACCATTTCCAGGACCGAAGGTAAGTCTATTATTCCTATTCAGGTTGTGCAACTGTACTTACGCCATGCGGTCGGAATGCTCCACATGCATTCTGCCGGATGTGTGGCCTGGGGAGAAAAGAGGGGCACAGGTGCCAGGTGCATGTAAGTCTATGACATGAACACCAACATTGGGGTTAAACAGTTCGAGAACCGGTTAACCCCTTAATGTGAGCCAGCACCAGGGACCTCATGGCCCTCCTGGCACCATAACAACTTCAGTTCTATTAAATTGCTATGGTGCCCAAATTGTTCCTTTAAGTACTAATAAATGTAATTAACTCTTTGACATAATAATAATAGTGTTTTACAAACCACATTTATCTTCAAATAACGATTTCAAAACAGCTTAATTAACGTTCTAGGGCAGACTAGATGGGCCGAATGGTTCTTATCTGCCGTCACATTCTATGTTTCTATGTTTCATGCCCCCATACACACAATTTTTTCTTTCCTTATTTCCTCTTACTTTTGTTTCTCTCTCTTCCCTGGTATTATGTCTTTATCCTCTTCCCACCAACATTTGGCAAGCAATATTACTTGGCAGAAGGATTTACAGTATTATGCTTTGGGCTTTGATGGCCATGATCCGGGTATTGGATTAAGGTAAGAGCAAAAACCAGAAGCCCCATTTAGGTGTACCTTTGGACTTGGAATCAGTAGGCTGTTTTAATCATACATAGATTGTTATTTAGACTGATAAACTTTGCAACATTATGGTTAAATAATTACTCTACCCCAAAATTACTGCTGTTTTGCGTCACATCTTGGACGGATTTATGAGTCTATACATGGCATGTGCATATGCTAAGTTCAGGCATTTAAAAGGCTCATTATTTTTATATAATAAGACTTTGTTAGTTATTTTTACTCAGAATATTTCAAGAGTAAATACTGGTTAGAAAAAAAGACTTCATAATTGGTACATTGGAGTTTCCAGTATTCAAAAATGTTGATGAATGTAGTCAATATTATCTTCACATTATAGTTTTTGCCAATTAAATTGTGCCCCATGTTAAAAAAAAACCTAATTGTTACTTTCAAAATATTGGGTTTGCCCAGCCTATTAATTGTTCAAGTAAAATGAGTCGTATTGGAATTGCATTACATCTATTCTTTTCTCATGGTATCGGTGAAAGACATCTCACTTCTCTGCTATGTATTCATACTATCTACAAGGTTTTTCTTCCATTGAACCTTAAATAATAGGTAGAACGTATGCCTTTAGATTGACAAAAGATTAAAGCTATATATAGATATTTTTTCCTAAACAAATTTTTTTTCATGGAAATACAATATTTCCAGAAGATCTTGATTTCAATATCGAAGTATTAGTGAAATGTATCTATGGACACTTTAAAACATGAAACAGTGTTAAAATTAGTGGAAAAAATATATCCCACAAAAACAAAGAAGTGTTACAAATATTATTCCTCTTTAAGAAACACTCAGGGAACCTTAACAACCTCATTGAAATAAAATTGTTATGGTGCTAGGAGGTCCCTGGCGCTGGCTAACCTTAAGAGGTTAAACCGTTCTTGAACAGTTTATCCCCAAAGTCTGTGTTCCAGAGCCGAATCCCTCTATGTCTCTGTGCCTCTGTTTTCTCAAAATCGGGAAACTGAATGGATCTTGTAGAATCGGGCAGCGATGCTGCTGACAAGCGGAAAGCCACCAACTAACGCTCTTGGCCAATCATTGCTTCCTATTCATAAAACTGGCTTGAAAAAGGTACATTTCTTTTCAAGCCGGTTTTATGAATGGGAAGCAATGATTGGCCAAGAGCATTAGCTGGTGGCTTCCAGCTTGTCAGAGGCATTTAAAAGGCTCATGATTTTTAAATAATAAATCTTTGGTTATTTTCACTCAAAATATCTAAAAGTAAATACTGGTTGGGAAGAAGATTTTAATAATTGCTACATTATTTCCAGTATTCAAAAATGTTGATGAATGTAGTCAATATTATCTTCACATTATAGTTTGTGCCAATTAATAAATTATGCCCTATTTAAAAAAAAATAAAAAAATTGTTACTTTCACAATATTGGGTTTGCCCAACCTATTCATTGTTCAAGTAAAATGAGTCGTATTGGAATTGCATTACATCTATTCTTTTCTCATGGGATCGGTGAAAGACATCTCACTTCTCTGCCATGTAGGGACATAACTAGAAGGTTTTCCTTCCATTGAACCTTAAACAATAGGTGGAATATATGCCTTTAGATTGACAAAAGATTAAACCTATATATAGATATTTTTTTACTAAACACATTTTTTTTTTCAGGGAAATACAATCTTGCAGAAGACAGAGGATTTTCAATACCTAAGTATTAATGAAATGTCTGCTCTGATACATCTAAAATATCAGTGTTAAAAATAGCAAAACAATATCCAACAAAAACAAATATTCTTCCTTATACAGTAGGGGAAGGAAGTATTAGATCCCCTGCTGACTTTGAACATTTGCCCACTGACAAAGAAATGATCAGTCTATATTTTTAATGGTAGGTGTATTTTAACAGTGAGAGACAGAATGACAAAACAAAAATCCCCGGTGGGCCAAGATGGCCATGGCCATAGTGCCGACGCTATCATGGTGCCGGCCCCGCTGTGTTCCTTGACGGGCCAGTGGGGAGATCAAAGATCTCCCTCACCAACCCACATGTAGTGAAATGCGGCCGCCGGCAGGGGAGAGAAACTGGAGAGGACCCGGAGGAGCTCTATCTTGCAGCTCTGCCGGGTTCCTCTTGCGAGATTCGGAGAGTTGCCATGACAACGCTCAGGGTTTCACAAGACCACCAGGGATGGATGGCAGCAGGGTCCCCCCTCCCAGGCTACAGGTAAGAGGAAGTGATATAATGCCTTTTTTTTTGTTTGTTTTTTATTATAAAAATCTAAATACATAAATCCTGGCATTAACCTGCCTCCCCCAAACACACAATCCCTCCAAACTCACACAGCACCCTAACACACACACACACGTTACCCTCACACAGCACCCTAGCACACAGCACCCTCACTCACACACACAGCACCCTAACACACACATATCACCCTCACACAGCACCCTAACACACATACACACATCTACAGATATACACACACTAGATCTATATATACACTCTGAATCCTCTACACACACACTCACTAGATCTCCTATACACACTCTAGGTCCTTCAAACACACACTAGATACCCTACACACACGCTGCACCACCTACACACGCACACTACATTTCTGACATACACACTCTGGATCCCCTATGCACACACTAGATTCCTTGTAAGCAAACACATAGTGTCTCCATAAATAGGATACAGTGAGTATCCCATTTATGGAAACCCCTGAGACAAGTTTCAAACAAACACAATGCTGTGCAGAATAAATAAAGGGCCTTTTTTCTCATGCTAGAGCTCTTCAGCAGAGCTCTGTGCATGGTCTGCCCTGGAAGAGCATTGACCCAACATGCTCACTTTAAATGGGGCGTGCTTGTCATTGGGGATGACTAAACACACCCTCTCTGGCCCCGCCCCCTCTCCATTTTTTTCCCCAGTCCGGCCATAGGTGGGGATGGTTTTCTTGGGGTCATAGGCAGCATTCCTCCTCCAAACACAGCGAGTTGAGTTGATTCCAAAGAGATTTTGGTCTCATCTGACTACAACACTTCCACCCAATTCTCCTCTTAATCATGCAGATGTTCATTGGCAATGTTCAGACGGGCCTGTACATGTGCTTTCTTGAGCAGGGGGCGTTGTAGGATTTCAGCTGCTTGGCGATGGTCTTGCAGCCCATTCCAGCCTTGTGTAGGTCTCAGGGCTGTCTTTAATGTTGACCAGACCCTGGGCAACCATTTGCTTGGGACCCCTGGACCCTGCCCCCTGCCAGACATACTAACACACATACACAGAGACATACACACTGACAAACACGCAGACACATACACTGACACAGACATACACACAGACATACTGGCATACACACACAGACATACTGACATACACACAGACATACTGGCATAAATTTACACTTTTAAACCCATCCTCTCGTTTCCTACCTTGGAGGGTGGTTTCCCCGGTGTCCAGACTGGAGGCTGAGGCTGCCTCTAACTGCCCAGCCCCCTCCTTCATCTCCCACGTGGCTCCTCTCCTTAGTGGGAGGAAGTGACTCGTGGCCGTCACTTCCTCCCAGTGCTGCCGAAAAGCAGAGGGCCCGGTTGCGCTGATAAAGGGCTACAGGGTGTAACCAGGCCCCTGCTTACAAATACCCACCTGGTGGACTCCTTAATGTGCAGGCCGTCGGCCCCATGGGGGAAAAAAAATGTTCAAGGGACGAAGGGCCACCCAACAGTAACTGGGCCCAGGGCAGCTGCCCTATTTGCCCAACGTTAAAGACGGCCCTGGTAGGTCTACAATCTTGTCCTTGGACAGCTCTTTGGTCTTTGCCATGGTGGAGAGTTTGGAATCTGATTGATTGCTTCTTTTTATACAGGTAACAAGCTCAGAGTAGGAGCACTTCATTTAAAAGAATGCTCCAAATCTCAACTCGTTACTTGTATCAAAGACACCTGGAAGCCAGAAATCTTGCTGATTGATAGGGGATCAAATACTTTTTTCACTCATTGACATGCAAATCAATCTATAACTTTTTTGACATGTGTTTTTCTGAATTTTATTTTTGTTATTCTGTCTCTTACTGTTAAAATACACCTACCATTAAAATTATAGACTTATCATTCCTTTGTCAGTGGCAAACGTTCAAAAGCAGCAGGGTATCAAATACTTTTTCCCTCACTGTATGATTCTTGAAGAGCCTTCCAGTCTCTTAATTTTGAGAAAACAGAAGGATAGAGAAGCAAGCATATTCAGCGCTGGAACACAGACCTTTAGGTTAAGCCATTTGAGAACGGTTTAAACTTTTAAGGTGAGCCAGCTCCAGGGACATCCTTGTCACATAACAACTTAATTATGATGAAGTTGTTATGTCACACAAACTGGTCCTTTAACTACTAGAGTTAAAAATGAAATTCATTATTTGACATAATAATTATAATGTTTTTCAAATCCAAATTGCAAAACAACTGTACATGATGTCTTCATTTATGGATATTACTTTAACCAAAAATGTAATTAAATTGTAGACCAATATGAAAAAAAATATGCTTTTTCCTAATGATGGTCCACGGACCAAAAAAAATATATGCTCATGAGTTCACATGATGCAAATATAAATCATCTTCAGGATGATACAAAGAGAAAATATTAGAAGCCAAACCAATAGTCATGTATTGAAATCCAACAGCTTTATTCACACCCACATCATACCTCTTAAAGGACCACTATAGGCACCCAGACCACTTCAGCTTAATGAAGTGGTCTGGGTGCCAGGTTCAGCTAGGTTTAACCCTTTCTTCTATAAACATAGCAGTTTCAGAGAAACTGCTATGTTTATAATAGGGTTAATCCAGCCTCTAGTGGCTGTCTCATTTCGCGCTTCTCACTGCGATTTTCACAGTGAGAAGACGCCAGCGTCCATAGGAAAGCAATGAGAATGCTTTCCTATGGACTGGCTGAATGCGCGCGCAGCTCATGCCGTGCATGCGCATTCAGCCAATGACAATGAGAAGGAGGAGGAAAGGAAGGAGGAGAGTCCCCTGCCCAGCGCTGGAAAAAGAGGTAAATTTAGACCCTTCCACACCCTAGAGCCCGGTGGGAGGGGGGCCCCTAGTATGTTTTCCTGGCACTATAGTGGTCCTTTAAGTGTCCCTATTTAGGAGGTACAGTCCCTATTTTGGATCCAAATTCATCTGACCCTCTTTTCTATCCTAATGTCCTTCTTTTCTAGGAGCTTCATATTGTTGGTGGGTCTCAGTTTTTAAAAGAGCTTTGCAGCAATAATACTCGCAGTAATGTGTCTTTCAACTACAATAAATGAGTTTAGAAATCAGTTTGTGTAAATAAGATGCATTGTTCTTCTTCTAACTTACATTTTAGATGTATAAATTGTTATTACTAAGTGACCTAAAAATTTCTCAGAATAGTCCCGCCCCTGGCCACACCCTCACTTACGTCCCTATAATTAAAATGTTCCTCTTTACATGTTTCAAATGTTGGTTGGTATGCCATAGGGACATTGAAATTCAAAAGTATAGCTATTTCTTCATTCAAAATATCAATTCCTCCTCATAGTACATGCAATCCTGGGACAACAATAATCTCTGGGTTTTGGATTAAAACTACACTTCTCAATGCACACGTCCTAGTTTAAATGGAAAATGGAGATTGAAACATCAGCCTCTCTAATCAGACACAATTCCTCCCTAACTGCAAAGTAAAAGGTGATAATTAATCCTAAGTGGGCCACTTGTAAGATATTGCTGGAAAGCTAAACTATAGACTCTAGAAATAATAAAGGGGCCAGAAGCACTCCATTTAAAATGGTCCAACTTCTTAATATAAGAGATCCTTTCTCATAACAGGAGCAGTGCCATTTAAACCTATAAAATTAACCCTTTAATGTCTACATACAAGACCATAAGATCGGTTCTACACTTTCACATTTCCTCTATTTAGGAATAGCTATTTGGAATTATAATAGCCATGTGGGGTTTAATTGTTGATAATTTTGCATGGTAAAAACCACTGGGCCTTGTTGGAGTGACTTTATCTATAAGGAGGCCTAGATGCTTCTCTCACAAGTTTACCTATTTCAAAAGTGTTCCATTGCAATCAGGTTCTTTATATAATCCTAAATATTGTCCTCAGGGCCGCCATTAAAATTCTTTGGACCCCTTACAGGTCCACTAGATAGGTCATCCAACACACACACTTCCAAACACAGACAGAGATATTCTCTCCCAGAGAGAGAGACACAATCACAGACACAATCAGGTGTACAAATATGCATTCCAAACAGGGATATATACTTACAGTTCACACTGCCAGACACAAAAACACACTTTGTATAAACAAACACACAATCACACTGATAAATACACATCCAAACCCTACTAGACATATAGACATACTCTGCTACACATACACTCTGATATACACACATTGGTAAACACCCAGTTACATATACTTTACTACATTAACACTTAAAATGTATATTGTATTTAGCCACCATTTTACATCTGTAGGGTGGCTTCTTTGGGGTGTATGGAGCATTGGGCAGGTAAAGGATTGCAGGCTTCTGGCACCTCTTCTAACCTTCTGTGTAGTTTCCATGAGTACTAGGAGGAAGTGGTCTGAAATCACTTCCTCGCAGCGATGCCACAGACAGGCCTCATAACTGTCCCACTTTTGGTTGGACAAAGTGGGAATTAAAGCGGGGGTCTCTCCTGCCATTCTGTTTTAATTCCCTGGTGTCCCACAGCCATTAGATGTGCTTGCGATATGCACTAGAACCATACAGAGAGTGCTTCAGTAATGGTCCCTGCCTGATTCTGAAGGCTGCGGCCTGCCTCTTCTGTGCGGGCCTGCCTATTCTGTGCAACAAGAATTTTGAGGGAACTCTTGACCTTCAGGAAAAATTAAGCTAGGTACTAGCACAAATAAGAAATAGGTTTTTATTTTTTTTTAATCTGTAAAGGGATAGCGTGAATTCCTATAAATCAGTAATGTTTAAGGACATCAGTAAATCAGTAATGTGATATACTTGGATTTTTCCAAGGCATTTGATACGGTTCCTCACAATAGGTTAGTCTTCAAATTAAAAGAAATTGGTGTAGAATAGATGATTATTCTTGTTCTTGGGTAGAACATTTGCTTAAGGATCGAGTACAACGAGTTGTCATTAATGGTACATTTTCAGGCTGGATAAAAGTGGTAAGTGGCGTCCCTCGGGGTTCTGTTTTGGGACCACTTCTATTTAACATATTTATAAATGATCTTGAAATAGGCATTGAAAGCCATGTTTCAGTGTTTGCAGATGACACAAAACTTTGTAAAGTAATAAAATGTGAGCAGGATATTTCTTTGCTGCAGAGGGATTTGGATAGATTGGGGAACTGGGCACTACAATGGCAGATGAAATTTAACGTAGAGAGATGCAAAGTTATGCACTTCGGGGTCAAGAATGCACAAGCAACTTACACTCTAAATGTTAGTGAATTAGGGATAACCACACATGAGAAGGATTTGGGAATTGTTATAGACAACAAATTAGGCAGCAATATGCAATGTCAATCTGCAGTTGCTAAGGCCAGTACGGTTTTGTCATGTATAAATAGGGGCATAATTTCTCTAGATGAAAATATAATTTTGCCTCTTTATAAATCGCTGATAAGACCACACCTTGAATATGCTGTGTAATTTTGGGCACCTGTTCTAAAGAAGGATACCATGGCATTAGAAAAAGTGCAGAGACAAGCTACAAAATTGATAGAAGGAATGGAACCTTTTAGTTAAGAAGAAAGGTTAAAATGTTTTAATATCTTTAGTTTGGAAAAACGGCACCTCAGTGGGGATATGATAACATTATACAAATATATTTGGGGCCAGTACAAACCATTATCTGGAAATCTATTCATGAGGTCACACATTTAGACTGGAAGAAAGGAGATTTCATCTAAGGCAAAGAAAAGGTTTTTTTACAGTAAGAGCAATAAGGATATGTAATTATCTGCCTGAAGAGGTGGTTTTATCAGCGTCCATACAGATGTTTAAACTGCAATTGGATAACTACTTGCAAAAACATAATATACAGGGATATAATTTCTAATTAGTGGGGTAATAGCTGCTTGATCCAAGGAGACATCTGACTGCTATTTTGGGATCAAGAAGGAATTGTTTCCTAGTTTGTTGCAAACTTGGAAGTGCTTCAGACTAGTTTTTTTGCCTTCTTTTGGATCAACAGCAAAAACATATGTGAGGAAGGCTAAACTTGATGGACGAAAGTCTTTTTTCAGCTATGTAACTATGTAGAGATAAGCTATAATATTTTAATATATAGCATACCTTCCAACATGTGGCTTCTGCAAGTCAGGATGGGCGGAAACCCAAGTGTGCGTCTCCAGTGACGTGAGCCATGTCACTAGAGACGTCCACCAAGGGTGTGGCCTTTGGAAAAAGGGTGTCTTGTCCAAAAAAGGGGTGAGCCCACCAACTGACATGCAGCCTGGACCATGCAGGGAGAGCTGCTGATTGCTTTCCAGCAAGATCGTAATGTCCGATGTATAACGCAAGCACGTCTAATGATTCAATCGCATTCTGCTGTGTGAGGCCATTTCCCTGGTGTTCCTAGATGTGGAACACCACATCTCCCTAGATTTGGGACACCAGGGAAAGCGTGACTGTGCCGCTGAAAGAGGAACAGTTTTCAGGCAAGATATAGTTTGAACTGTTTTATTATTTAGAATGTCTGATGGCAATGAACACATGACGTAACCAAATATAAAACACCTGCACAGTCACTTACCTGGACGATCGTATGAACTATATGTGCAGCTGGGTAAATCCCTTCAATTAATGGCATGCATTCCATATATCCAACAAAGAAGCCCAGCTTCAAGAAGTCCATGATTAAGGTGGTTATTGCAAATATGGCGATTCCACCTGTTCAAAAGATGCATTAGTCAAAAGATTTGTATACAGTTTTCTAAGGACATTACAGAGACAGTAGCAGTATAATAAACAGGGTCATTCACTAAACTGAGAATTTTCAAGAATTCAGAGTGAATTTCAAATGTAAGTCCAAGATAGTTTAACTAGAAAGATTATATAAATCATATATATGTTTCCAGTTTGTGTGCTTTAGCCTTTAATTTGGAATTCACTTTGAATTTTAAACAATTCCGACGTTAGTGAAAAAACACTGTGTTTGTTATAAAAATAAAATGAATTTGCATTTCCTCTTTTTTTTAAGTTTCTATGAGTATAGATAGAATTTTACACGCAATCTAGAGTTAGTAGTAATCTTTGTATTTTTTATGTTTATTTATTTTAAATAGTGCATTTTTAATGTACAGTCTGGGCCTTTTCTGCGAGAAAACTATGAATAGTTTTGTCTATGATTTTTCTGTAAATAAAAATTTGAATTGATATCACTGAGGCAATGTAAAACTGTATCGTAGCTAAGCATATTTTTTAGATTTTCCTTTTATATTTTTAACATGGAGGGAGCCGATCAGGTCTCTCTTATGACTTGCTAATTACTCAAAGTCTTAATTTATGTATCCATATTTTTGTCAAAAAATATAAGCACTTATAGAACATGTCTTGTCCTTTTATGATTTGAGATCATTTATGTTCAGATGCCATATCCCGTATATTTAGAAAATGGATTTTTGCTTTGAAAAGTGAAATTAAATGTAGAAGTCCGCATATGTAGCCTGAAAGTGAATGTCTCCATTTTGGCTCCCTGTCTACCATCACTACAAATCTTGCCTTTTTTTTAACCATAGAGGTAAAATCCAAACAATATTCTGTTCTCCTCCTCACATTCATTGTGCTTCATGGCTGTGTTATGAGCTATACTTGATTGAGACGCAACATTCTGAAACGTTAATATACATTTTGAAAGAAAACAGAACATTCAATGAAGAAGAAAAAAACATAGCAGAAAATATAAGTGTGTGCTAACGTTTGATTTGTTATTTTCCAAAAAAAATGGCCTTCTGTTTTAAGTGAACTGATGGGTAGCAGTGTGTCAGGTATAGCATGGCATGTAATTTATCGCCGGAACCCACTTCCGGGTTCACGGCGCTCAGCCCCGCCCCTTTCTCTGACGCGGTCCCTCCACGATACTTAGGAGGACCGCGCCAGATTCAAAGGGCTGGATTATTCGCACAGGTGCTGCATGAAGATCAGCTGCTCTACTTCTGATCCTACCTGCTCCACTTCTATACCTCGGCTAGTAAACGGATTTCTACCTTCTCCACTTCTCGACCTCGGCTTGTAAACGGATTTCTACCTTCTCCACTTCTCGACCTCGGCTTGTAAACGGATTTCTACCTTCTCCACTCCTAGACCTCGGCTTGTAACTCTGAATTCTACCTTCTCCACTCCCAGACCTCGGCTTGTTAAAACGGACTTCCCCACTCTCCACTCCTAGTTCTCAGCTTGTTGAAACAGACTTCTAATTTCTCCTTCATTGGGTGAATTAACCCTTCCAGTGCCAGAACTGCCTTTAAGTTAAGTAATACTTTTACCAAACAAGTCAATTACTATTATTTATATTACACAGTATCTAAAACTCACTAAAGTGTCACTTTGTCTAATTATTCCTCTTACTCATAAGGGATTGCTACAAAGCCTAATTTTACCTACATGGATATTTAAAGGTACAGTGACCATAGTTTCATACCAATATAAAAGGAGGTGAACCTTATTGTTGTTGCAACCAAGAAATGCTGCAGTTGAGTTCCAATTAAAGAAATATTACAAAATAAGTATTACAGAATAACAGAATAATCCAGCCATTCAATGGAACCAGCAGATATTAACTCTCAAGTTTCTGCCCTAACCAATAGAGTGGATACGATTGCTCAAGGGTTACAGGAACTGCAAATTACAAATGAGAGAATATTAACCTATGTTAGAGACATTCAAGGTCATCTTCCTCATGCTGCTCTTCAATCGGCTGGTGATCCTGCTGTCTGTAATCCAGAAAAATTTCATGGAGATAGAACAAAGTACAGAGAGTTTTTGAATTCTTGCAAACTACTAATTGCTTTAAAACCTAGATCTTATCCCACCGAAAGATCCAAAGTCTGTTCAGTGATCTCTTTTTTAAGAGGTGAACCTATGGCATGGGCCCATTCCTTTTTGGAAAATGATGATCCCATATTGGATTCATTGGATGAGTTCTTTGAAGCTATGTCTTTATTATATGAAGATCCTTTTAAACAAACTACTGCTGATTTAACCATCAGAACATTACACCAAAAGAATAGACCTGTTGAAGATTATATTGCAGAATTCAAAAGATGGGCTACAGAAACCCAATGGAATGACATTACTTTACGCAATCAATTCCGTCTCGGATTATCTGAAGCTGTGAAAGATGAACTCTCTCGTACAGAACTTCCTCCTACCTTAAATGCATTGATTCAACTGTCTATCAGTATTGATAGACGTCTAAGAGAAAGAAAAGCTGAAAGGGTTCTTACTAATTCTACCTGGAGAAAACCTTTCACTACTCTAAAACTACCTGAAAAAATTCCTCCACAAACTGAACCTATGGAAGTAGGTATAATAAAAAGTCCTCTTACTTCTGAAGAAAGAATAAGAAGGAGACAACTAAACTTATGTATGTATTGTGCTTCGAATGAACATCTAATTTCCGAATGTCCTCTACTGAAACATTCAAAAGGTGGTAAGCTTCATTCATCTACCTCTATATTGAACGTTTTTCAAAAAAGAAAAGCATCTACTTATTTTTCTATATCTCTCATATTACAGTGGGATACAAAAAGAATCGTGACTGAGGCCATCATTGATTCTGGTGCTAATGGAACTTTTCTTGATTTTTCTTTTGTTTCAAAAAATAAAATTCCTTGTGTTCAAAAAACCAATTTTATTCCAATCAGAGTTATTGACGGTTCATTTATATCCTCAGGACCCATCAAAGATGAAACAATCCCTCTAAGAATGATTACCAACAACGTACATTTCGAATTCATTACATTTGATATTATTAAATCTCCACTTTATCCCGTCATTCTAGGAATTAATTGGTTAAAAAACCATGATCCTTTAATTAAGTGGTCTCCCTTCTCCATCTCCTTTGCTTCTGATTTCTGTAAAAAAACGTGCTTACAACACATTCCTATTCTCCAAACTACTGTAGAACCAGTTATACCTCCATTCTACTCCGATTTTGCAGATGTCTTTTGTAAAAAAGAAGCGGAAACACTTCCTCCTCATCGGGTATATGATTGCCCAATAGATCTCATACCCGGAGCTCCTATTCCTTATGGTCATATTTATCCACTCTCTGAAAAGGAGTTAGAAATTTTAAAAGAATATCTTAATGAAAATTTACGCAAAGGGTTCATCAGACCCTCGACCTCCCCAGCTGCTTCTAGTATTTTCTTTGTGAAGAATAAAGACCAAACCATCCGCCCTATTATAGATTACAGAGCCTTAAATAAAATAACTATTAAAAATCGTTATCCTCTTCCACTAATAAATGAATTAATTGAAAGGTTAAGAACTGCAACTATATTCACTAAACTCGACCTTCGAGGCGCATATAACCTCATTAGAATAAAACAGGATGATGAATGGAAAACCGCCTTCCGGACAAGATATGGTCTCTACGAATATCTAGTGATGCCTTTCGGGCTCTGTAATGCCCCTGCAACGTTTCAACATTTTATCAATGATATCTTTAGAGATCTTCTGGATGTATGTGTTATTATCTACTTAGATGATATCTTAATATATTCTAACAATTTGGATGAACATAGGAAACATGTTAGATGGGTTCTATCTAGACTGAGAACTCATAAATTATACGCTAAACCAGAAAAATGCCTTTTTGAGGTTACTGAATTCTCTTTTCTAGGATACATTATTTCACCTCATTCTTTGAAGATGGATAATTCCAAAATCAAATGTATTATTGATTGGCCTGCTCCTACTACTACAAAAGAATTACAACGTTTTCTTGGATTTGCAAACTTCTATAGAAAATTTATTAGAAACTATTCGGATGTATCACATCCTCTTAACCTCCTCAACAGTAGTAAACGTCCTTTTAATTGGAATAAAGATGCTCAAACAGCCTTCGACGAATTAAAAAAAAGATTTACAACTGCACCTATTCTACAACTACCTAATCCAACATTCCTATATGTTCTTGAAGTTGATGCATCAGATGCAGCCATCGGAGCAGTTCTTTCTCAACAAAAGACTCCACAAGATCCACTTCATCCAGTTGCCTTTTTTTCAAGATCCTTGAGCTCTGCTGAAAAAAATTATCCTATTGGTGAAAAAGAATTATTATGTGTTAAAGCTGCCTTCGAAAATTGGCGTCATCTTCTGGAAGATACAAAACAACCTATAATAGTTTATACTGACCATAAAAATCTTGAATATCTCTATACTAACAAAACCCTTACAGCTAGACAAGTTAGATGGAACCTATTCTTTAACCGATTTAACTTCCAATTAATATACAGACCTGGAAATAGAAATAAAAAGGCTGACGCTCTTTCTCGAATTCCTTCTAAAACTACTACTGATGATTATCCTTCTACCAAAATAATAGGAATCCTCTCTTCTCTTCATGATGACATAAAGAATTTGAATCAGAAGGATCTTGAACTTCCCAAAACACCTATACTAATAAAAAAGGATGGTCTATTTTATTTTAAAAATAGAATTTATATTCCTCCCATTCTTAGGAATAAATTACTTAAGATGGTTCATGATTCCCCCCTAGCTGGACATCCTGGAATAAAGAAAACACTTGAACTAACTTCACGATATTATTGGTGGCCTCTCCAGGATAGAACCATTGCATTATATGTCAAAACATGTCCTATCTGTCAAAGGTCTAAACCAGAACATAATCAACCTTTTGGATTACTACTTAACTTACCTATTCCAGAAAAACCTTGGCAATCCATTTCTATGGATTTTATCGTTGATCTTCCACCTTCTCAACATTTCACCACTATTCTTGTCGTTGTGGATCGCTTCACAAAAATGTCCCATTTCATTTCTTTAAAAAAATTACCCTCCTCTGTAGAATTGTCTAAGGTCTTTATTGACAATATTGTGAAACTTCATGGTCTTCCTGAAGAAATTATTTCTGATAGGGGACACAATTTACCTCCAAATTCTGGAAAGAGATGTGTCTCTCCCTTCAAATTCAACGCAAACTCTCTTCCGCTTATCATCCCCAAACTAATGGGCAAACAGAAAGGGTTAATCAATGTTTGGAACAATATCTTCGATGTTATTGTTCATACCTCCAAGATGACTGGACCACATGGTTACCTATGGCCGAATTTTCTTACAATAATACCATTCATTCTAGTACGAAAATGACTCCTTTCTTCTCCAACTATGGTTTTCATCCGTCTTCATTCCCCATCCAAACCATTACTTCATCCAATCCTACTGTTACATCAAAAAATGAATTTATGTCTTCTCTATTTTTCAAATTACGGGAGAATCTTCAACTCGCCCAAAATAACCAGAAAAAGTTTTTTGACAATAATAGAAGAATTCCCCCTCCTTACAAGGTAGGGGATCTTGTCTGGCTCTCTTCAAGGAATATTACCACAAGCCGTCCTTCAAAGAAATTGAGCTCTCTTTTTCTTGGTCCCTTTCAAGTAATTACTATCATTAATGATAACGTTGTTAAACTAAAACTTCCTCCAAGTTTTAAACTTCATCCAGTATTCCATGTCTCCTTACTTAAACCACACATCCCTGATCCTTTTTATAGAGAAATAGTAACAACTCCTGAACCTATCATTGTCCAAGGTGAAGAAGAATATGAAATTCACAAAATTTTGGATTCTCGTGTCCACCGTGGCTCCTTACAATACCTTATCAGATGGAAAGGTTATGGAGTTGATGAAGACACTTGGGAAGATTCATCCAATGTACATGCTAGGAGGTTAGTTACTGCCTTTCACAAACGCTATCCCTCCAAACCGAAATAGTGCACCCAGAGGATGCCCCATGGGAAGGGGGTACTGTCAGGTATAGCATGGCATGTAATTTATCGCCGGAACCCACTTCCGGGTTCACGGCGCTCAGCCCCGCCCCTTTCTCTGACGCGGTCCCTCCACGATACTTAGGAGGACCGCGCCAGATTCAAAGGGCTGGATTATTCGCACAGGTGCTGCATGAAGATCAGCTGCTCTACTTCTGATCCTACCTGCTCCACTTCTATACCTCGGCTAGTAAACGGATTTCTACCTTCTCCACTTCTCGACCTCGGCTTGTAAACGGATTTCTACCTTCTCCACTTCTCGACCTCGGCTTGTAAACGGATTTCTACCTTCTCCACTCCTAGACCTCGGCTTGTAACTCTGAATTCTACCTTCTCCACTCCCAGACCTCGGCTTGTTAAAACGGACTTCCCCACTCTCCACTCCTAGTTCTCAGCTTGTTGAAACAGACTTCTAATTTCTCCTTCATTGGGTGAATTAACCCTTCCAGTGCCAGAACTGCCTTTAAGTTAAGTAATACTTTTACCAAACAAGTCAATTACTATTATTTATATTACACAGTATCTAAAACTCACTAAAGTGTCACTTTGTCTAATTATTCCTCTTACTCATAAGGGATTGCTACAAAGCCTAATTTTACCTACATGGATATTTAAAGGTACAGTGACCATAGTTTCATACCAATATAAAAGGAGGTGAACCTTATTGTTGTTGCAACCAAGAAATGCTGCAGTTGAGTTCCAATTAAAGAAATATTACAAAATAAGTATTACACAGTGTTATGCTATCACAGACAATGTCTCCATTTCTGTTAGTGTCTTGGCCCAGATAAGTAAGACACATCACCTATATAATCTCTTAATGACCAACTATTAAACTTTGTATTACCAAAAATGGTACCCAAATATATTCAAGAATGTAATTCCCCACATATATGTTCCTGAGAGACCCATATGGGGTCATTAAAATTGTATCCGGTTACAATTGCACTTAAAATGATTCATATAGAGCCAACCTATTCTGCAGCGCTGTACAATATGTAAACAAAACAAATATTAAATTCCAACAAAACATGGTTAACACGCTGGAACAATAGGCGAAGAGTACACCATGAAGAACAGATTGTTCTGACAACATAGATGGTAATTGGTCCCTTAGAGGTTGATTGGGGAATTAAATGATACAACTCTGACTGGCCAGGCTGCAGGACGAAATAAGTTTACTATGTAAGCTATAGATTTAAGAAGTCTCTTAAATCTCCCTTTGGACTTAGCACACAATATGTCCCTGGCTCTCCTGCAGTCCGTCCACTGCTGTCACATGGAGATGGAAACATAGGCCCGGCAGGGAGGTCACATGGAGATGCCGAGGCCGGCAGGGAGATCACAGGATCTCCCCTGCCAGCCCCTGCAGGGCCAGCGCTATCCGAGCGCCGGCCCTGCTGTGTGCCTCCGTGGGCCGGTGGGGAGATCAAAGATCTCCCTCACCGGCCCAGAGGCAGGGAGATGCGGCCGCCGGCTGGGTGAGGGAGGGAGGGAGGAGAGAGGACCCGGCGGAGCTCTAACAAGCAGCTCCACCGGTCCTCTCGCGGGATTCTGAGCGTTGCCGCGGCAACTCTCAGATCTCGCGAGAGTGAACTCTAACCTGCATGTTAGAGTTTACTCTCACCACTGGACCACCAGGGAAGGCAGCATGGCTCCCCACCCCCCAGGCAGAACTGATCTCCTCCCCCCCCTCCCAGGATAAAGGTAAGAAGGGAGGGGGGGAAATATTTTTTTTTTTTATTATTATTAGTAAAAAATATATATTTACATTTAAATAAAAAATACATTCACTCACACACACAGCACCCAGACACAGCACCCCCCAGACACACACAGCACCCCCAGACACACACAGCACCCCCAGACACACACTGCACCCCAAGACACACACAGAACCCAGACACACACTGCACCCCCAGACACACACAGAACCCAGACACACACTGCACCCCCAGAAACACACAGCCTCCCAGACACACACAGCACCCAGACACACACAGCACCTCCAGACACACACAGCACCCCAGACACAAAACAGAACCCAGACACACACGAAGCACCCAGACACACACAGGCGCACCCAGACACCACACCTGCACCCAGACACACACAGCACCCACACACACACAGCACCCCCAGACACACACAGCGCACCCAGAGACACACAGCGCACCCAGAGACACACAGTGCACCCAGACACACACAGCACCCAGACACACACTGCACCACCAGACACACACAGCACCCCCAGACACACAGCCACCCAGACACACACAGCGCACCCAGACACACACAGCGCACCCAGACACACAGCACACCCAGACACACACAGAACCCAGACACACACAGCACCCCCAGACACACACCGCACACCCAGACACACACAGCACCAGACACAGCACCCCCCAGACACACACAGCACCCAGACACACACAGCACCCTCACTCACACACACAGCACACTCCCACACATATACAGCACACACACACATATATATATATATAAAATAACCCTCAGTGAGTTAACAGACAAAGAAAATTAGAAACCTAGAATGTGACAGCAGATAAAAACACCCTCACACACAGCACCCCTCTTACATACACACACTGCGCCCCTCACACATACAATAAGTCAATATATATATATATATATATACATACACACACACACACACACACACACACACTACAGCACCCCTCACACTGCACCACTACACATTACGCTCCAGATACACACTAGATCCCTTACCCTATATGCACTCTTAATCCTCTACACACACACACTGGGTCCTTTACACAGTAGATCTCCTACACACACACACTACATTCCTTGTCAGCAAACACATACAACATTCTCTAAACACACCCTCTCTGCAACCCCTACACACACTACGTCACCTATACACACACACTTCAGCCCGTATGCACACACTCGCTGCATCCCCTATAAAACTATGCCTCCTATACACACACTCTCTACAGCCCCTAGCCACACATATTACACCACAAACACAAATTAAATTGACCTATTTATACAATACCACACCACACTCTACACACACGCAATCCCACAAGCAGGCTCCGAACATATGCACCATGCACTTTCCTGGTCCTTTTGTCCTCTGGTATCCCACTTGTGGAGACACAAGAGACAATTTAAAAGCAAACAAATTCAGGGCCTTTTTCTAATGCCAGAGCTCTTCAGCAGGGCTCTGGGCATTGAACCAACATGCTCACTTTGAGAGGGGGCGTGTTGTCATTAGTGATGACAAAACACACACTCTTTGGCCCCTCCCCCTTCTTAGGGGGCCGCTCTGACTGAAAAATGGCCGGGCCTAATTCTTTTCCCAGTTCGGCCCTGAAACATATTAATCAACACATTAAAGAGTGTAAGTTTATCAGGGACATTGCTAAATGGCAAAAAGAACAAGGATTTAACCCCAGGAACTACAACCCTTTTCAGCCCCCACCACCCTTCCTCCGAAACGATCAACAAGTTAATATTCCAACACACAAGGCAAATATCTACCAAAGATTAGAATGTTCCGACTTATCTTAATATATAAAGTTTCTCACTGGACCTCCTGTAGAGGCTTACCCAGATCATAATTGTATTTACAACAGCCCTGTTGCAAGATTTCACATATTATACAAGAATTATGTTTTCCTGAATAATTATGACACATGGATATACACATACACATAGGTGCACTACATGATTGATCATTACATTGATCTTTTTAAATCCATTCCTAAGCTTTAAGTGATCATTTGCAGTTGGACCGCACCCCACTCATGTCTATTCTCTGTAGAGACACACGCCAATATGATGACAAGCTTAACGTCATTACAGCATTCAGAACACAATGAACACTTTTACTTGGATTCATTCTCGCATGTTTTTTTAATAAAGAGAAGTGAAAAGACAAAAAAAGCAAAACATGCCAAACAATGCAGAGTAAGAATGGGCAAAAAAGTAGAAAACCTTTCTTTTGCAATATGTAAATTGTTAGGGAAAAGGTGTAGGTTTTTTGTGATCTCACCGGAAAAAAAGAAAAGTGCTTACTCTTGGTGAAAATAATCAACATGATCGGGTACAGCAGCAAAGAAAAAAAAGTTACACAATATTGCGGAGCTATAGTACAATATTAAATAGTTTATTCTAATTGGTTTGTTTATTAAAACCAGTCCAAAAGACCCAAAATATGTTTATATTGACACCAAATTTTTCTGAACAGTTTATTTAAGAGTATTTTACTTACATCTTAACCATCTAGCTCCTGCGTGGGAGTCCTTCTCTCTTTGTTTGTGAGTGCAAGCGTGACTTATGTAGATATACCATAGCATCCATAAGATTTGGATCAACACCAGCACGACCAAGAATATCATCCAATCACATTTGCTCACTCCAGCGATATCAAAAGTGCAAAGAAACATAAGAAGAAATCCAATCACAAAAATATTAATGCCATACTGGCTACTTGATATTTCAGAATTTTTATGCCGTTTTAAAACTAGTTCTGTTTCATCCATCGGAGTTTGGTTTGAGGGCAGATTAAAACTTTTTGCAGACACTGTGTTCAGAGAGTTGTTACTTATGCCATCAAGATCTTCATAAGGATTGTTGTCCATCATTGTAATGGCCAGATTACTGGTGGTAACATGTATAAGGTCTTCCCGAATTTTTTCAGCCATTATGGAAACTGTCACCACCACAGGCTGAGAGAAATCCTTTAAAATAAAGAGGTCAATACATAAATTGTTATACTAGCCTGAAATGCAAAATAAACACAAACATAATATACATGTAAACATATTGCGTAATAGGCAGCGCACATCAATAGAATCAGTAGTTTTTATCTGTACCACTTTATCTATCGAGCCAAGACACGTGCAAAATTCTTAAAGTTGAGAAACATTTCGTTGGATTTTATAGTTCTATTTAGCACTCTGACTAAGTAAAGCACCTGCTTGCTTTGATAAAGACATTTCTAAAATATATAGAGGAATAAATGTTAAAAAAAATGTTTAAGATGCTCACTCACCTATGAAGTAATGAAATCTTCAATTCTTAAGAGTTCTTTCTATCACGAAGGCTGGATCACTTGTGCTTTGCAATGAGTGTTTTGATCCTTTTTAATAGGTTTGCCAGGAAACGTAACAAAGTATGTCTTAACAATGAGCAGGATAGAATTTCAATCAAGTACATTCATCATTCCTAAATGTATGGGAACAGCAAGAATGTTTTCCTTGCCTTTGGTCATCTTTTCCTTGCATAACGAGGATAGTGTTAAACAAAAAAAACTAAATGTGATATTTTTGGACATATTGTAGGGTATAAATACAAAAAGAGAAGTCCTGCACTCACTCCCATCACTACTGGGCCGGCAGCAATGACTACAGTACACATCAGCCCCAATATTTAGCAAAAACCAAAGAAAAGAAAATGTTACCTCTCCTTAATCCCTATGTATATTTAGACAAATGGAGGTCATTTAGTTGCTCCAATGGCCATTGGAGGGAATGCCCGCCTGCCAATGTCAAGGCAGACCCCCCTAGATGGGTTCTACACTGACCCTTTACCTTGCTTCCTTGAGCTTCTGGCAATGAAAAGAGAGGGGTATTTTTTATATGCACCCCTATATACTTACTAACCCTTAATAGGGAACACATGGGATGGGCGGCAGCATTGTAACAAGGCTGTGTGATACAAAGTAAATACAAAAAGAGAAGTCCTGTGCTCACTCCAATCACTACTGGGACAGCAGCAATGACTACAGTACACATCAGCCCCAGTATATAGTAAAAAACTAAGAAAAGAAAAAGTTACCTGCGCTCTCTCCTTAATCCCTATGTATATTTAGACAAATGGAGGTCATTTAGTTGCTCCAATGGCCATTGGAGGGAATGCCCACCTGCCACGTCAAGGCAAACCTCTCAGGTGGGTCCTACACTAACCTTTCACCTTGCTTCCTTGAGCTTCTGGCAAAGATATCTCTAATGAGACAGAGGGGTATTTTTTATATACACCCCTATATACTTATTAACCCTTAATAGGGAACACATGGGATGGGCGGCAGCATTGTAGCGCAGGACTTCTCTTTTTGTATTTGTATTTACTTTGTATCATACAGCCTTGTTACAATGCTGCCACCCATCTAAATATACATAGGGATTAAGGAGAGAGTGCAGGTAACTTTTTCTTTTCTTTGGTATTTACTATATATTGTAGGGTATATATTAATTTCTTAAGATGTGCTTGCAAAAAAAAAATGCCTGTAAACATCATCAAACTACCTTACAGATTATTCTAATAAGAGTCCTGTTTGTGATTTTTCTTGTGATTAATTAACTTTTATAAAGATACACTGTTGTCATATTTTACTGTGTCACTTATCAAGGATTCTCCTGTCATGGGGCTCCGAACATTTTAAGTTTTTGAGAGAAAGAAGAACCTATGACTGGAGATACTAGACTTGTACACAGTGTCAAAATTCGTTTTGGCTGAATTAAATTGGCCAGAAAATTATTTTTTGTTTTCAGTCACTTCATGAGTCTCCATGTGTTTTTTTTTATTTTTTTATTTAGATTAATTTCATCTATGCAACCATTTTAGAAAAAAAGCAATTCAGACAAAGCATAGGGCAAGAAAATGGGCCAATCAGTGAATTGCAAAACATAAATATTATATATATATATATTATGCAGCCCACTGATAGGTGCAATTTCTGCACCATTTGGTTCAGAGATCAGAAGTATCCAATAGAGGGAAAAAGAGAAGGAACATTAAATATAAATATATAGAGATTTTATTTACTGCTCTTTCCATTTTTCCCTCTATTGGACACTTCTCACGTGATCTGTGAATATAATCAACTTCATCAAGCCATCAATCCTATTGTTTCCCATTTATTTTATTTTTTTGGCTCTACAGGCGGCATCACAGAGGAAACCTCATCTCGTTTTCCTGGCACTATAGGGTCTTTGGGTCCACCCCACCCTCAGGGTCCTACGCTCGCCGGGATGAAGGGGGAGGAAGGGGTTAAACTCTTACCTACCTCCAGCACAGGGCTCTCTTGGCGCTGGGGAACTCTCCTTCCTCTTCCGACGTCAGCGCTGCAAAAGCCACGCGCGCATTCAATCAGTCCATAGAAAAGCATTACTCAATGCTTTCCTTTGGACTTCAGCGTCTTCTCACCGTGATTTTCACAGTGAGAAGCGCAGAAGCGCCTCTAGCGGCTGTCAATGAGACAGCCACTAGAGGCTGGATTAACCAATAGGTAAACATAGCAGTTTCTCTGAAACTGCTATGCTTACAGCTGCAGGGCTAACCCTAGATTGACCTGGCACCCAGACCACTTCATTGAGCTGAAGTGGACTGGGTGCCTATAGTGGTTCTTTAAGTTTGTTTTGTGATTTTGTCAATTGGCAATTTGGAGTTCTGAAATTGGGACAATCTATTGATCGTGCAAAATTCAAAACATTGAATTAGTTTGGATGCACAAGTCTAGAAGATACTGAAATTCTGTTACAATTATGTTACAGCAAACCAGTAATTTGTCGACTCAAGATAGAATATTACAGCAAGTTAATAAAATTAATGTAAACAAACCTCTTGAGCCACAGAGGGTCCCCTGCTTAGCGAGACTAACACATGAATAGCAAAACCAGTGGTGGGCCAAAAAGGCCCTGGAGTTTCCATTGTAAGGAGATGCCAACAAAGATGGAAACTGCAAGCTCTTCTGCTGCTACCCTGCACAGAGTCCTGCATCGGAATCCACTCCTCCAGCCAGGTCCATGGTGGTTCCATAGTGATATCTAATGCTTTGTGGCCCCTGCTGACACACTGTATCATACCATCTCCCTTGCAGCACCGACATGAGTCAGAGGGCAGCCGAGCAGATTCTGACTCTACACTAAACACCGAAAACGTGAGGGACAGGATATTATAGTGCATGCCATACACTACATTACCACCAGGGGATACATAACAACTATCAGCAAAACAAAAATAAAAAAAATCTAAATCTTAGCCTGGAAATTAGAGATCCATGATCGTATCATCTGTCGTTGAGGCATTATTTGAAAGTTTAAGGGTTAATATTCGGGAATTCATTGTGTTAGGAATAAATGTGGCTTTATGAAAGAGAGATAATGTCAAACTAATAACTTATTTTAATTCTTTAAATTAGAAGTATAGATTGGGGTGTTGTAGTGTTGTAGTGAATGGGATCTATTTGGCTTTTGCCACATAAAAGGTTACTATATAAATTAAAAGCAATTGGTTGGAAAATTATTGTTCTTAAATAAAACATTGGCTTGTAGAGTTTAGAGTTCTTTTCTGAATCTATTTCTCCTAAAAGTGACACTGCAATAATTACCTGCTAGGGTTAACTCCCCCTTTAGTGGCTGTCTACCAGAGAGATACTAGAGGGATTTCCGAGCTCGAAGGCAACTGTTGGACACCTAAATGGCACTGGACGTCCTCACGATATGCATGAGGACTTCCAGCATCACCTGTATCCCGATAAGAAAGCTATGAATAATGGTTTCCTATGGTGAAATCCTATAGCAAGCGCGGCCATTGCTGCGCATGTGCATTAGGTCTTCCCCGCATACTGACGTCGGTGGGGGAAGAGAGTGGGCAGAGCTGAGCCAGCACCGAGGAACATCGGCGCTGGCCTCAGGTAAGTGACAGAGGGGGTTTTTATCAAAGGGGAAGCTATAGTACCAGGGAAACCAGTTTGTTTTCCTGGCATTATAGTTTTCCTTTAATCTATTTTTTAAAGATCTTGCCACAGTCATTCAAATTCATGTGTGAGTGTTTGCAGATGACACAAAACTAGGTAAGATGAGCAGCATTATTCTCTGCAGAGGGATTTGGATAAATTCAGGATATAGACAGTCAGGTGACAAGTAAGATTTAATGTGGATAAATGGAAGATTATTCATTTTGTAATGAGCAAAATCAGCTTATATCCAAAATGAGTCTGAGTAAGAGTAAACATTAAGTGGGACACAACTAACATACAACATAATCCTATTTAATAGATTTAGGCTGTTATACCTGTTTTTTTTCTTTCTCTCTTGCTAAAATTGTTAGTGATGCAAAATTTCTGCTTCATAATCCGACCCCTTACAGACATAGTTCCTGATTTCTCATCTGCTCTTTAAAATGCATTGCACTGCATCTTCCTGTAGAGGGCAGCCAAGAGAGACACACCATAAGTGTTAGTATTTTCCTTTTATTGTTTTGAGTTTTTAAAAACTTTGCCCTAATGCTCATATGAATGTACTATAATATTGGGTGGTGAAGCTGTGCAGGGTCTATTTGACTCTCACCCTTGCCCTTAATCATTGTGCTCCCCCAACCCAGTCTCTGTATTAATATAGTGCAGTGAGCTTGGGTCCCTAGCTGAATTGGTCTCCTCAGCAACATTAAATTACCCCACATGACCCGCATGGTACCCTTATCACCCCTTATCAGTGTGCTATGTGTGTGGGAGCTGTCAGTGTTGTGTGTGTATGTGTGTTGATTGCTCTGACTAATGTGTGTAGCATTTGTGAGTGATATGTGTGGTTGATATCAGTGATTTGTGCATGTGTGTGTATAGGGATGTGTGCTCATACATTTTCCTTTTGTCAAATAATAAGTTACTACGTACACAAGATCATGGTTTGTGACCGAAATTATGCCTTGTTTTTAACTGCATCAAATGACTGCTTAACTTGAACATCTGGTGAGACATTCTTTTGTTACTTCTGTGAATGAAGATGAATCTAAAAAGACTAGCAGCAGAGGGGTTACTATTTTGAAAAAACAAAAGATACTTAAAGGAATTTAAAAAGGGTGGGTTTGTATTTTTTGGACAAAATAGTGCCTATAAATCTCATATTAACACAATTTATCACATCAATTCAGTATACATCAGATATCAATTTAAAATTCTAGGCATCTAAAGTTAATTTAAAGTTAAATGTTAATTGGCAGTAGGATGACATGAAAACCTAGACAAAATATTTATAATTCAATATAAAATCCTTTGGGATCTATGACAACATACTTCAATACAGAATGCACCTGTCATGGTTGACTATA